CAATTAAAGCAAGAGTTTCAGGAACAGCAAAAACTAGTGCAGCTAAACCAGGAGCATAATAAGATAAAAAAGGATCTAAATAACCATAATAATCATCTTCAGATAGTGTTATTTTTGATGTTGTTTCACAATTAGAAATTATTTAAAATTCCACTAATAAAGCTTAAACATAAGATTTAATTAAAAAATGTTTTGAAACACTTGTTGGATGGACAGCTAAAGAAAATGATGAAACTGAACTTGAATTACATGCTGAATTATGGGCAAGATTAGCAAGATTGTCATTAAATGAAGAAACTATATTAATGTATAAGTATTCACTTAGATGTGTTTAATATTCATTGTAATTATTAACATCTGATTTATCAACAATTCCAGCTTCCCGTTTAAGATGGTATTCTTTAGCTGAATATATATATAGTGAAAATTTATTGAGAATGCTTAATACAGAAACATAAGAAACTGAATCTTAAGAATCTTTATTATTTTCAAGTTTATTTCATGCTATTGAAGCTGCGAATAAAGGATTGAAAGCTGGTATCAATAGTTTAGTACTAGATGCTTCTAAATAAGTTTGGAATTTATGTGCCAGATTAGAAGAAAGTGCTTAAAATAGAAAACATTTAATTAAACCAGTATATTCTTGCTTAAATTATTTAAAAGAATGCAAAGAAAAAAGTGAACCTGATTTAGTTTTATTGTTAGCTTAATTACTCTTTAAAAGTGCTTTAGAAAATGAAGATTATAAATTAGGAGAAATGGCTGCTGATATGGTATTTGAATTAGTACCTAAAAATATGGCTAAACCTATTTGGGAAGCCAAAATGATCTTTATGAGTAAATAAGGTAAAAATGAATTATAGGCTATTGTAAATATGAAAGAAGCAGATGCATCTTTATAAGCTAAGGTTTGGATCAGATTAGCTAGAGTTTCAAATAATCTCTATAAATAATATACAGCATATAATAAAGCTATTGAATTATTAAAAAAAGATTCATCTGTTGAAATAGTTGAAGTTTTAATTGAATTTTCAGAATGGTTGTTAAGAAATGGAAATGAAAAATAATTAGTAATTGAAAATTTAATGTAAGCAGCAGATACTTTAATAGAAATTGAAATGGAAGATGATGAAGAAGAAGATGAAGGTGATGAAGAACAAAATTCTTCTACTATTTTTAGCAGAAGTACTAGAGGTAAAAAATCAACAGTTTCTAAATAATCTAAATAAAAATCTAAAATGACAAAGAAAACTACTAAAAATACTGTAAAATAAAATAAAAGTAAAGAACAAAAATCATAAATTTCTGGACAGAAATCAGGTAATCAAAGATTTTCAAGAGCTGCTAATGTAAGAACAACAACAATTAAAAGCAATAAATAAAAGTCTAAAATATTTAGACCAAGAGAAGAAGAAGCTAATCCTAATAGATTGAATTGTGCTCATTATGAGAGATTAATGAGAATTCATATTATGTTAGCTATGATTGCTGATACTATGGAATAATCTATTCAATTTGCTATTGATGCTAAAGTATTTTTAGTTAAAATCATTGAAATCTCATTTTAAACTATGAATGAATTCGAAGAAAATGCTGCTAAATATACTAATATTATTGATGAAAAAACAAGCAAATAATAATAATAATAACCTAAACCTTAATAATAAGATGATTTTTCTCCAAGATATCTTTTACCTACTTGCATCTAAGATTGGATTAAATTACAGTTTAGTAAAGAGTTTTTAGAAAGAGTTAAAAGTTATGAAGACTTTAATTTTATGGGAAAATATTTATTTGATAAAGCATAGTTAACATATACTTATATAAATAATCTTATTTCTATTTTTGAAAAATATGGACTCCAAATTCATAATATACCGATTTTTGTATTTTAGAAATTCTTTGTCAAGGAAATATTAAACAATTCTTATCTTGATAGATTAATTGATGTAAGATTTAGTAAATGCTTACATTTAGTAGGATTTCATGGTGAAGCTGATTAAATGTATTAATAATCTAATATTGTTAAATTTAAATTAACAGAATAAGATAAAAAATAATTGTTGGCTAAAACAGAATCAAGTGTTTTACAATAAAATCGTTCTAGACCTGCTGATATTATGGAATAAAATCTACCTTAAGCCAACATTATTAGTGAGATCTTTGTATATACAATTTTAACAGATCTAGGAAATGAATTAATATATTAGGGTGAAATTTATAGAGCAAAAGAATTATTAGCTGAATCTCATAAGCATGCCAAAATTGTTTCAGATTTAGAATTAATGGGCAGAATCTTATGTCTTTAAGGATCAATTGCATTCTTAGAAGGGGAGTTTAAAGATTCAATCGAAAATCATAAACTTTCCCATAAATTAATTAAAAATGTAAGTTAATGGGAGATTTCATCAATTGAAACTTATAAAACATTGTATAAGCTTGGCAAATACGATGATATTAGACAATTTTTAAAACAAATCACAGAAGTTTTATTAGAGGTTTTAAATAAGCCAAATTATTAGCCAAATAAATTATAGATATATCAAACATTAACAACTTTGTATATATTATAATCTAAAATTTCATCAAAAGATTTATACAAAGAATTTTCTTATGATACTTTTAAATTAATAGCAGAAAACTTAGAAAAATCATTAAAATGTATATAACATGGAGGATTTATGACTCATTAACTTGATTTGATCATAAATTTAGTAAAAAAGATTCTAATTTTTATTCGAAATAGAAATTATACTAAAATAGATCATGTAGAAATATATTTTAAAATAATATAAAGATTGCAAAATTCTATTTTAAAACCTTTAGAATAATAAAGTAGATCACTCTTAAAATACACTTTATTAATAGAGAAAGAATAAGAATCCATAAGATCACCTATAATGGATTAATAAGCTAAAATACGAGTAATGATGGCTTCTTGCTTTATTGAAATGGGATTGATTAAATGGTTGAGAAAATAATAATCTTTACCTGATCTTTAAGGATCTGATGATGAAAATAATAATGATTAACAAGAAGATAAACCAATAGAATAATTAAGTAACTATGAACCACTATAAAAGTTTTTAACATAATTAACTATTAAAATTTAAAGAGCAATTCAACCATTGCCTTAAAGATTAGAATCTTTTGAAAAGGCTACAGCTATCTTGATATCTACATTGAAGTAATTAAAAAAAGATTCATTCTGGTACACAATAGCTGAAATTGAATTGGTCAGAGCTAAAAGATTCTTAGCAATAAGTAAATAATAGCTTGATGATGTATGGGAAATGCCTACACTATCTTAAGATTTATTATAAGTACACAATGACGAAGAAAATTAGTTTGATTATAAGTCAGATGCTTTGTCAAGTGCTATTAAACTTATTAAAGATTTAGAATCTAAAGCATTCAATGTTTTGAAAGCAAAAGGAGATAATACAACTATTCCATTAGAGTGGAGTATTTTTGGATATAAATAAATGAATTTTTACTTAAAAATGTTATATGAATCTGCATTAGATATATTAGGAATTAAAAGTCCAGATATTTCATATGACTATTTGTGTAAGTTCCAACACTTTTCGTTTTGTGAATAAATGTTTAATATGGTCAGATAATCATTTTTTGGGAAACATAAAATGATAGTATATATAAGATTAATAAAAATGATAAACACAGTTTGTGGCTATTTAAGTTAGGATGCAATAAAATTACTTACTGAAACTAATAAATTATGGGATAATCTTATGATATTTCCATTAACAGAATTATAATCTTAGTTGCAATAAAGTGCTGGTTTTTTGATTATGTAGATGAGTCAAAATAAAACATCTTTATATTTGGGATATTTGCATAATACAAAATCTCCAGTTTATAAAGTTTAAAAATTAGTATTAGATTCCAGAAACCATGATTAAATGAATTAGATGAAGTCTAATTTAGATTAGATTAAAAATAATTTAATAAAAACTCCTATAATCTAGTAATAAGATTTTATTAAACTTGAAGATGACATGGAAAAAGAATATATTAAATATTGTTAAGATGTAGAATAATTCATGAGCTTTATTCCATAGATGATAGATGAGAATATAAATACATAAGAAGAAGTGCCACCTCCTGTCATTGATCCTAAAGCACCTCCTCCAAAAAAAGATTAAGGAAAGTAAACTAAGGGTAAACCTGGAAAAGATGAAATAGCCTTATATGAATCTCCTTTAGAATAAGCTCCTGGTAAAATAGATACAGTTGTATTATTACTTGATCCAAAATTCTTTGATTATCCGATTGAATAATTGAGTGTGTTTTAGAAGGTGGCTGCAATGTCTAGAGATTTCAGCATGGCTGTTTATGTGAGAAGATTAAAAAATGTAGGTTTCTAAGTTCAGTTAAACAATAGTTAAAAGGGGATAGAAAAAGATAAAATGAAATATTTAACTTATGACTTCAAAACAGAAGATTAAGATTTAAATTTAGAAGAGTTTAACCTATAAAAAACATTAAATGATGTCTAAAAATTTACACCTCAACTCAAATTTGAAGGAGTATTATTATTTAATTAATTTAGACCTTTTCCTCCAGTAGATTAGCATCCTTAGGTGAACTACAAAAGTATTCATAGACAGGTTCTTCAATTATCTGGTACGGGTCTCCTGGAGTTTTGAATATCTTATCCTCAAAAGTAGTAATTGATCTTTCAGAAATAAACACTTCAAAGTTTTGGGTCATCTTTGATAAGATGAATGCAAAAAAGAGTTTGATAGAAAAATTCACATCTTTAGATCCAGATGGAGAGAAAACTCATATTCTAGAATAGAGTTTTAAAATCTCTGTCTTTTTGACTCTAATTGATGTAAGCACTATTTTAACAACTTAATGGTCTCCATAAACTGTAGAATATCTTAAAGCATTTGATAATTTAATTAAATAACTAACTGAAGATATATATGTGGCTGCATGCTTATAAAAATATAAAGTATAGATTTTTATAATTTGTGATAGGCTCCAATAATTAAATATGAGGATGAAAATGGAAATATTATAGATAAGAAACCATAACCAGTTGAAGTCAAAAAAGGAGCTAAAACTGAACCTATTTAAGATACTTCAAATTGGAAAGAAATTTATATAGAGAAAAAGCGTATCTATACTCATAATTTTGTATTCGTGGGTTTGCCGAATTTAAGACTGATTTGATTTATTTTTATTAAATATAATGTTTACCGAGTAACCCTATTATGAGGCAAAAGTATTCTTAAAATCATACAATGATGCCCTTTCCTGTTTGAGGTATTTTCTTATTTAAAGAATTTAAATAGAGAAGCAGCTGAATACAAGGCTCATGTTGAATTTTAAGAGCATGCTCTTTAATCCCTTGCAAATGCTCGCACAAGATAAGAAGTAATAAAAATACATAAAATAGCTTGATGTGAGAGATGGTTAAGTTGTACCTGGACTTAATTTTGCTTAATCTAAATCAACTAAGCTCTTCTAATTTTCTAAGTATAACTTTTACATTTTAATACAGTCATGTGTTTTCCAAGTACTTAAAGGGATTTGAGGAATACACAGGCAATTTTAAGGGCTTCTAATAGATTCTGAGCGATGGTCTTAAGAAGATGAAGTCAGATGTAAAATGAGATATGATCAATGAAATTATATTATTATATCAACAAAGATAGTATTAATATTGAAAGCCATATGATATGAAGAGAAGGTTTTTAATGTGGTAATTATCTTTATTAAGAAATAAATATTGGTACATTTAAGGGAGTAATAGCTTCATTAGAAAAATGGCTATTTAAATACAAATATCCATTCATGGAATATCTAAATTTATTTTAATAAATAAAATGCTGACTAGGGTATTAGCCAGATAGATGCGTGCAGGTATTTAGATAGTTTAATATCTTCATAGCATTCTCTGCTGCTAAAAAATAAGCAGAGACCACCACAACAACAACAAAAGCTACTACAAAAACAACTACAGGTCAAATTGCTTAAGTTATTGGTGCTGTCGTCGATGTTTAATTTGATGGACCTCTTCCACCAATATTGAATGCTTTGTAAGTGTAAGGCACAAGTCATAAATTAATTTTGGAAGTTGCTTAACACTTGGGTGATAGCAGAGTCAGAACAATTGCTATGGATTCCACAGAGGGTTTGATCCGTGGTTAACCAGTATCAGATTTGGGAGGTCCAATTACAATTCCAGTTGGTCCTGAGACTTTAGGACGTATCATGAATGTCATTGGAGATCCAATTGATGAAAGAGGACCAATAGAAACAAAAATAAGATATCCAATTCATAGAGAAGCTCCAAGCTTTGTAGATTAAGGAAGTGGTGCAGAAATATTGATAACAGGTATTAAAGTTGTTGACTTATTGGCTCCATATGCAAGAGGTGGTAAAATAGGATTGTTTGGTGGTGCAGGTGTAGGAAAAACAGTGCTTATTTAAGAATTGATTAATAATGTAGCTAAAGCTCATGGTGGTTATTCAGTATTTGCTGGAGTAGGAGAGAGAACAAGAGAAGGAAATGATTTATATCATGAAATGGTTGCTTCAGGTGTTATCAATTTAAGTGGTGGATCAAGATGTGCTCTTATTTATGGATAAATGAATGAGCCCCCTGGTGCTAGAGCCAGAGTTGGTTTAACTGGTTTAACAGTTGCTGAATATTTCAGAGATGAGGAAGGAAAAGATGTGTTGCTCTTTATTGACAATATTTTCAGATTCACATAAGCATGCTCAGAAGTGTCAGCATTGTTGGGACGTATCCCATCAGCTGTCGGTTATTAACCAACATTGGCAACAGATTTAGGTTAATTGTAAGAACGTATTACAACAACCAAGAAAGGATCTATTACTTCAGTCTAAGCAATTTATGTACCTGCAGATGATCTTACAGATCCTGCACCAGCTACAACATTTGCTCACTTGGATGCTACTACTGTGTTATCAAGAGCTTTGACTGAATTAGGTATCTATCCAGCTGTCGATCCATTGGATTCTTCATCACGTATGATGGACCCAAATATTGTTGGTGAAAAGTAATCTATCTCATATTATTATTTTAGACATTATACTGTCACAAGAGGAGTTTAAAAATTGTTGTAAGATTATAAATCACTCCAAGATATCATTGCTATATTGGGTATGGATGAATTATCTGAAGATGATAAACTTACTGTTGCAAGAGCTAGAAAAGTTTAGAGATTCCTTTCTTAACCATTCTTCATGAGTGAAGTCTTCTCAGGAAGAAAAGGTAAATTCGTATCACTCAATGACACCATTGCTGGATTCAGAGGTATTCATTTCATTCTATCCTAGCTTTACTTGATGGTGAAGGTGATGAATACCCAGAAAATGCATTCTATATGTAAGGAACATTTGAAGATGTCATTGAAGAAGCCAAAAGAGTTGCTGCTGAAACAACCAAATGAAAAATATCTACATTAACATTTAAATAAAAATAATATTGTTCTTCATATAATCGATATATTAATTTTATCATCCTATTCAATCATTTAAATACTTCATTTATTTTTTATTTATGTATTCAAACAATTTCAAATCTCGGTTAAACAACTCTGCATTTAAGGATAAGCTTGTCTCTTCTAGAGATTGCTAAAATGCCTAACCAAAATCATAATAGAAACAAATCCTAAAGAAATTCTACTAAACTTAAAATCTTAGTAAATTAATCAATCAAGGTTAAAAGAAATTCTCCATGAATACATAAGCACCCTCAATGAATATTTTTCTTAATAATACACCAAGGCATGCTACTCCATAACTTAATAAAATTAATTAAGAAGTATCTCTTATTAAATTAACTCTAGTATTATTTTGCTAAACAAACAAAATTATAAACTACTCTACACTTATCTGAACAAATAAGCAAAACGCTTTAATCAGTGTTTAATAAATCAAATCATAATTTTAATCAAGAAAATTCCAAAAAAAATACATGCAAAACCAACACAGATAGAAAATATAATGTAAATTCCTTAGATTCCACTAAATTAATTCAAAAATTAAAAACAGAAATTCAAGAATTCAAAGTAACTACAGATAAAATTGACAATTAAATAAATTCTTCTAAACTTTTTAGTTTAGATGATTTTGTCTCTTAAGTGACAACACCAAATCTTTCAAAATCTAAGTGTTTGATATTACCTTTCAAATAAACTAAGTCATTATCTCCTACCAATAGAGTATTATCTTTAAAAAAAAACAGTATTTCTTGTGCATATTTTAGAAAACATATATTATGTTTCAGCAATGTTTGAATCAATAAGGAATTAAAATGATCTAATGAGTTCAATATTTTATGATCATGCAATCTAAACTTACAGCAGTATAGACTTCTGTTTGAGGTAATCAGAAAAAGATTTACGTCAAATATAAGAAAAAATGATAAAATGGCCTAAACAAAATATAAAATGTAAAATCATCTTAGATTAAAGTTAATAAAACAATAGTGTTTGATTTAGATGAGACATTAATACACTGTAATGAGGATAACACAATAAAATCAGAAATTTTATTACCAATAACTTTTCCTTCGGGAGAAATTGTACAAGCAGGAATAAATGTACGTCCATGGGCAAAAGAAATTATAATAAAATTATCAGAAGTTTGTGAAGTTGTAATATTTACAGCATCACATAAATGTTATGCATCTTAGGTTATTGAGTTTTTAGATAAAAATAAAGTAGTATCTGCAACATTATTCAGAGATTAGTGCATAGTCACAAGCGAAGGAGTATATATTAAAGATCTCAGGATATTAGGAAGGGATATGAAAGATGTAGTTTTGATAGATAATGCTGCCTACAGTTTTGGTGTCCACATTGAAAATGGAATACCTATTATACCTTACTACGATAATAAAGCTGATAAAGAATTAAGATAATTGTATGATTTTCTGATCACTAATGTTCTTCCTTCATTTGATTGTAGAAAAGTCTTACAAAAAACGTTTAGATTAAGGGAATTTGTAAATTTCATTAGTCCAAAAATCGCTATTGAAAAACTATATCGTTGATCAAAAATATTTAAATATTTAAAAATTCTTTTATTACCCATGCATATCTTATATCTTTGTGAATAATTAATATTTGATTTCTCTCGTTTAAATAACTCAATTTTTATCATTATTTTACTAATCCAATCATAAAAGATTCAAATCAGATATTTATCAAATTATTATATAATCATTATTTGATTAAAATTAATTATAATTTATCATCATGTAAGGTGATTTGAGAATTAATTTAGATTTTTAAGAATAAGAATCTTTTTATTCAGATGATGACGAAGAAGAAGAAGGAATTAAGAATTATCAAATTGGTCGTTTTCATCCAGTATTTATTGGTGAAGTATTTCATGGGAGATATGTGGTGATTCAGAAATTAGGTTATGGAAATTTTTCAACTGTATGGTTGGCGAAAGATTTTAAAATGAATATTTTTGTGGCTCTAAAAATATAAAGGAGCGCACCTTAATCACAGGAAGCAGCTTTGGATGAAATAGAAATACTCTAAGCAATTCAAAGAAAATCTCGAAATATTAATATTGTGAAATTATTGAATGTTTTTGTACATAAGGGTTTATTTGGAAATCATTATGTGTTGATTTTTGAAATTCTTGGTTAAAACTTATTAGAGCTAATAAGAAATTGCGATAACGATGGTTTGAACTTAGATTAATGCAAATCTATAATTAAGTAAATCCTGATTGCATTAGATTTTCTGCATAGAGAATGTGGGATTGTCCATACTGATCTGAAGCCAGAAAATATATTATTATGTCTTACAACTGAACAAATTAAAGATATTGTTGAGAAGGGTCAAATTAAATAGCGCCAGTACTTTTCAGAATAGTTAAATAAATATTATAAGCAATCTAAATCAGATAAAAAAAAAGAAAAAAGAAAAAGATAAAAAGAAAAAAAAAAATTATAATCAATAAAATATAAGCTACAACAAATTGATTCTAATAAAAGGTATCGCAAATTAAAAATTACTATTAGAATCTTTTAAGTTAAAATTGCTGATTTTGGTAACGCTTGCTGGGTAAACCATCATATGAGCGAAGTGATTTAAACCTAGAAGTATAGAGCTCCAGAAGTAATATTAGGATAATATTATGGAACATCAGCTGACATTTGGAGTCTTGCTTGCATAGCATTTGAATTAGTAACTGGAGACAGTTTATTTGAAACAGAATTCGAAGATTATGACACCCATTTAATGTAGATTCAAGAGATATTAGGTCCTTTTCCTATTGAATTTTCTTCAGTTGGAACGTATTGTAGATAATATTTTAAGTATGATGGATAACTGAGAAATGTTAAAGTGAAACACTATTGTTCTTTATAATAGCTTTTGGTTAAAAAGTAAAAATTTTCAATTAATGAGATATCAGATGGAAAATTATGAAGCTGCTTAATTTGCAGATTTTTTATAACCAATGTTAAATGTATTTTCTTACAAAAGATCAACCGCATCTTAAATGCTCAAACATCCTTGGATAAGTAAATAATAGTTTAAGTTTCATTATTTCTTCGAAATGCCTATTCTAGATAATGAACATGAAGATAATTCAGAAAGTGAAAATGAAAATTTGGATGGTGCTAGTTTTAAGTGAAATTGGGTATGATAATTATTCAAATTTTTTATTTTTCCATTTCTAATTCGAAAATTTTTTTAATAAATTTTCATTTCTATTTATATTTAACTTTGTAATATTTCTTGTTTATTAATGTTTTGCCATCTGTTAGATAAAAAAAATCTATTTTGATTCTAATACTTTATATATTGATATTTTAATGATATATTTATTAATTATAAAAAAATATATTGATTCTTTATGGAAGGTATAACAGTTTTTATTATCTATTAGAACCAACAAACGATCATCTATAAATAGCGAAAAAACAAATCTATGTTGGAAACTACTCTTAAGCTGTATTTTTTTAAATTATTTTAGATTGAACTTTTAGAAGCAATTATTGAAAATGACAATTAAAACATAGAAGCCTATAACTTATTAGCCTATGCTATTAAGAATGACTTAGAAAATACTACAGATGGATATATGAGAAGTTTAGAAATCATGCATAAAGCATTAGAAGTAAAAGATTTTTTCATATATAGATTCTCCCGAATAATACATTAACCTTGTTCAATATGGCTTCGACATATTATGAAATGTAAGATTTTGCTTAAGCAATAACCTATTATTAATAACTTATTCAAAATAACAAAGTTAATGACTATCGGGCCTATTTTAATTTAGCAATGTGCTATGAGAAAGCAGGTGAAAACTAACAAGCTTTAGAAATGTATTAGCAAGTAAATAATTTTCTTATAACTAGTCTATTCGAAGCAATCCAAATTTTTCGAGTGCTGTTATAAATTATTCAAATCTGCTTATGTAAATGGGCAAGCAAGCCCAAGCTAGATACACATTAGAAAACTATCTAAAAAATAATAAAGGAGATATGAGAGCCTTGAATAATTTAAATATTATTTTGGCCGAAAAATAAATCGATTAAAAAGTGGAAGAAAATTTTAAGAAAATTAATCAAAGTGGAGCAATAACAAGTGTTTATAATAATGGTGTGTTTTTATCAAAATAAGGAAAGTTATAGGAAGCCTTATAAATTTTTAAATAATTGGTTGATAAACTAAAAGATGATGTGGATGAACCACTACTATTATTATCTCATGTAAATTAAGGAGTATTATTTGAAAAGCTTAATGATTATGATTCTGCCATTTAAAAGTATAATTATGTATGAATTCTTTAATCATTAGATCTTAGATAATTTTTCAAAAGAGATTAATAGTGAGGAATTTCTGAATAGAATAGCAGTATTGAAATAAAAGGAAAAGGAAAGATAAAAGTTGTTTGCCCCAAAAATTATGAGTAAAACTTAAACTTAATGGAAGCAACCTTAGCAGCAACAATAATAAGCTTAAGCAAAGATAAACAATTTGAGTAAACATGTTAATAATTCTAGTGAAATAATCTCCAGATAAATATAAGTAATAATAGCCTGCTTTAGTTCCAATTAATAACAACAATAATAAAAAATAATAATAATTACCTGTTTAGATATAAAAACAGCCCTAATAATTAATTCAGAGTTAACCACATCCTTTTAGCTAACAACAATAAAGATAAAATTAATAACAATAATAGCAGCTTCCTCACTAACCCATAAGAAGGCCATCAGCAGTGAAAAATATATCAAATCAACAAAGTTTATAAAGTGATAAAATTTCATCTTAATAATAATTTGATGAGCATCAATCAAGCATTGAATAATTATCCATGGTATAGCCTGTAGAAACAGGTTAAAGATTTGTTAAATAAAATTCTTTAAAGCTTGATTAGAAAAAAAGGCATTCTAGAGATAATTCTCAACATTAAAAGTTTCATGAAGAAATAATCAATGATTTAAATAATGAGATTCAGAACCAATAAAGAACGAAAACAGAAGAGCAAGGAAAACCTAAAAATCAGTTTAAAGAAAAATTTAGCTTCTAAGAATCTTAACCAGATTAAGAACCATAGTAGCCAAAAGATTAATTTACTTTTTAAGGAAACTCAGATCCTTATAGACTATCTTCTATTAAGGAAAGATCTATGGAAATAGGAGAGTCTCAAAGAGTTAAATCTGGAAAATAAAGAAATTAAGATAAATCTTCTAAAACCATCTTAGAAGAAGTAAATGAAGGAGCTAAACAGCAGCAATCTAAAGTTTCTTTAGATTTATAAAATAAAGAGCTACATTTAGAATAAGAAGAGAACTAAGTGACATTTAAACCGAAGGAAGAATAACAAGCAAATACACTTGAAGAACAATAAATAAAAAATTTTAAAAAAAGTTCTAGAGAATTTCAAAGATAATCATTGAATCTAAAAGAAAAGCAAAGTGATATAATATAAAAAAATTAATTTTAGGATGAATCATTTTAAAATAAAACCAATAAAGAAGAAAAAGAAGAATTAAATGTTGTAACATAAAATTAAAGTGATAAAAGGATAAGTTAAAACAAACCAAATAATTTGGAAAAAAAACCTTCATCAAGTTAATAGATCTCATAAAAATCATTAAATGAATCATAAAAAAATGAGATTTAGGAAACAAAATAGAAATAAAAGAGTATTAAACATATTGATTAGAATGTTTTATCTAAAGATGATTAATAAGAAGGAGATTAGTTTAAATAAGAACAATAATAAAAAATTTATGAAGAATAAGAGAAATAGTTAGCTTAAAAATAGAAAAATCTAGAAATAGAATAGCAGGAAAAAGAACGATAATTAGAGATAAAAAAAGAGTAAGAAAGAGAATAAGCTAAATAATAGAAAAAGCTGGAAGAAGAATAAAAAGAAAAAGAAAGATAATTAGAGTTGTAAAAAGAGTAAGAAAGATAAAAAGCTGAATAATAGATAAAACTGGAAGAAGAATAAAAAGAAAAAGAACGATAACTAGAATTGCAAAAAGAGTAGGAAAGATAACAAACAGAGTAATAGAAAAAACTTTAAGAAGAATAAAAAGAAAAGGAAAGATAATTAGAGTTATAATAAGAATAAGAAAGATTATAAGCAGAATAATTGAAAAATATGGAAGAAGAATAAAAAGAAAAAGAACGATAATTAGAGTTGTAAAAAGAGTAAGAAAGATAAAAAGCTGAATAATAGAAAAAACTGGAAGAAGAATAAAAAGAAAAAGAACGATAACTAGAATTGCAAAAAGAGTAGGAAAGATAACAAACAGAGTAATAGAAAAAACTTTAAGAAGAATAAAAAGAAAAGGAAAGATAATTAGAGTTATAATAAGAATAAGAAAGATAATAAGCAGAATAATAGAAAAAACTGGAAGAAGAATAAAAAGCAAAAGAAAGATAATTAGAACTGTAAAAAGAGTAAGAAAGATAACAAGCTGAATAATAGAAAAAACTGGAAGAAGAATAAAAAGAAAAAGAAAGATAATTAGAACTGTAAAAAGAGTAAGAAAGATAACAAGCTGAATAATAGAAAAAACTGGAAGAAGAATAAAAAGAAAAAGAACGATAATTAGAACTGTAAAAAGAGTAAGAAAGATAACAAGCTGAATAATAGAAAAAACTGGAAGAAGAATAAAAAGAAAAAGAAAGATAATTAGAACTGTAAAAAGAGTAAGAAAGATAACAAGCTGAATAATAGAAAAAACTGGAAGAAGAATAAAAAGAAAAAGAACGATAATTAGAACTGTAAAAAGAGTAAGAAAGATAACAAGCTGAATAATAGAAAAAACTGGAAGAAGAATAAAAAGAAAAAGAACGATAATTAGAACTGTAAAAAGAGTAAGAAAGATAACAAGCTGAATAATAGAAAAAACTGGAAGAAGAATAAAAAGAAAAAGAACGATAATTAGAACTGTAAAAAGAGTAAGAAAGATAACAAGCTGAATAATAGAAAAAACTGGAAGAAGAATAAAAAGAAAAAGAACGATAATTAGAACTGTAAAAAGAGTAAGAAAGATAACAAGCTGAATAATAGAAAAAACTGGAAGAAGAATAAAAAGAAAAAGAACGATAATTAGAACTGTAAAAAGAGTAAGAAAGATAACAAGCTGAATAATAGAAAAAACTGGAAGAAGAATAAAAAGAAAAAGAACGATAATTAGAACTTTAAAAAGAATAAGAAAGATAACAAGCTGAATAATAGAAAAATCGAGAAATAGAATAGCAGGAAAAAGAACGATAATTAGAGATAAAAAAAGAGTAAGAAAGATAATAAGCTAAATAATAGAAAAAACTGGAAGAAGAATAAAAAGAAAAAGAAAGATAATTAGAACTGTAAAAAGAGTAAGAAAGATAACAAGCTGAATAATAGAAAAAACTGGAAGAAGAATAAAAAGAAAAAGAACGATAATTAGAACTGTAAAAAGAGTAAGAAAGATAACAAGCTGAATAATAGAAAAAACTGGAAGAAGAATAAAAAGAAAAAGAACGATAATTAGAACTTTAAAAAGAATAAGAAAGATAACAAGCTGAATAATAGAAAAATCGAGAAATAGAATAGCAGGAAAAAGAACGATAATTAGAGATAAAAAAAGAGTAAGAAAGATAATAAGCTAAATAATAGAAAAAACTGGAAGAAGAATAAAAAGAAAAAGAAAGATAATTAGAACTGTAAAAAGAGTAAGAAAGATAACAAGCTGAATAATAGAAAAAACTGGAAGAAGAATAAAAAGAAAAAGAACGATAATTAGAACTTTAAAAAGAATAAGAAAGATAACAAGCTGAATAATAGAAAAATCGAGAAATAGAATAGCAGGAAAAAGAACGATAATTAGAGATAAAAAAAGAGTAAGAAAGATAATAAGCTAAATAATAGAAAAAACTGGAAGAAGAATAAAAAGAAAAAGAAAGATAATTAGAACTATAAAAAGAGTAAGAAAGATAACAAGCTGAATAATAAAAAAAACTGGAAGATGAATAAAAAGAGAAAGAACGATAATTAGAGATATAAAAAGAATAAGAAAGATAATAAGCTGAATAATAGAAAAAACTGGAAGAAGAAGAAAAAGAAAAAGAAAGATTGTTAGAACTTTAAAAAGAATAAGTAAGATAACAAGCTGAATAATTGAAAAAACTTGAAGAAGAATAAAAAGAAAAAGAACGATAATTAGAGATACAAAAAGAGTAAGAAAGATAATAAGCTGAATAATAGACAAAACTTGAAGAAGAATAAAAAGAAAAAGAAAGATTGTTAGAACTTTAAAAAGAATAAGAAAGATAACAAGCTGAATAATTGAAAAATCTTGAAGTAGAATAAAATGAAAAAGAGCAATAATTACCCCTATAATAAGTCCAAGAATAATCTAACTTAAATTAATAAAATTCTTAAGTTCCTCTATAACAATAGACATTTGGAGATTTATAAACATTTGAGCAAAACAACAAGAAAACAATAAAAGAAAAATAGCAATCTGGTAGTCAGCATTCTAGAAAATCTGTTTAAGAGCCTAGTATACTCATTAAACCATCTTAAAAATAATCATAACAAAAAATAATGAGTTCTTTATAAGAATAAAATTAAAATGTAGAATAAATAACTTCTCCTAAAGAAATTAAAAATGGGATCGAAATTCCTTTATAAAATGAAACTGGAACCTTTGTTGGTTCTGAAAGATCAGAACATTAGTAATAAACCGAATAATAATAGTAAGTTTAATAATAAAACGATTAAAAAATTGATAAATAGCCTACAAGGACATCCATTTCAAAAATAAATTCAAGACCTCCATCTACAAAAGGATTAGAAAAAAAAATTTCCTTAACTTTAGAATAGTAACAATAGTTGGAATCAGCTTAATCGAATAAATCAGAAAAAACATAAGGTGTAGAGAGGATTCCATCCCAAAAGATATTTTAAGAATAAAAATAATAATTAGAAAATTAAGAAGAAAATTAATAACAAAAACCTTCATCTCAATCTGGAAAAAGATCTTTATAAAGTGCAGGAAATAAAGACTAAAAAGCACAGAATTAAACCCATTAAACCCAAGGAAATGATATTTTATAGGATGAACAAGCGATTTCTTAGAAAAAATCAAGTAAAATAACGCCTAAGTTACAATCAAGACCTTAATCAGGAGCAAATTAGCCTATAGAATTAAGTAGACCAAATTCAACTAAAAATTAAAGTAAAAAGATTTCTATAGAATAATAATAATAGATGAATTAAGCTTAATAAAATCCATAATTAAAATAATAATCAGAACTTACAGAGTCTTAAATATCAATTGAAGGTGAGAAGAGAATAAAGTAAACAAAGTCATAGCAAGATTTACCAATCAAATAATTATAAGAAAATAGTTCCCATCCTTAGCTTTAATAATAAGGAAACAATCCTACAGAAAACTAATAACAGAATCAAAAAAAAGGTTCAAGAGTTTAATCAGGAAAATCTTTATAAAGGTCTGAAAATCCTTAAAAAAATGCAGAGCAATAATTGAATTAAGATTAAGAATAGTAAAAATCCTAAAAAGCTCAAAATCAAGAACAATCCAAGATTTAAGATTAAAATAAGGAATTAGAAGATTAAAATACAAATAAATCAGATGGAAAGAATATTGTTATAAACGAATCACAAGCCTAATAATAGCCAAAATAATAAGAAGAAGAGAAAGAATTATAAACTTAAAAAGATAATGAGAAGCCAGTTACTTTAGAATAGCAATAATAATAATAAAATTAAGAAGATTAGATCTTTCGTTAATAATAAACAGTAGAGTAAATAAAAGACAATCTTAATTAAGAGGACATACCATAGATAAAAGTTTAAAGTCCTCATAGTTCTATGAAAGGTAGCCAAGAGATGAATCAACTCGAAGCTTCTTTACATAAAGAAGACTAAATTGTGGAATAAGAATAGGAATAATAAGTTGTATAGTAAAATTTGGATGCTCAAGAAGTGAGAGCGGAAAATTAATAAGAATAGGATTAAACAAATGAATAAAAGGATTAAGAAAATAATGAATAAGTTAAATAAGAATAAAATAATGATTAAGAAATCTAAGGTAAAAAATCTGAATAGAATGAACAGGATCTTCAAGAAGAGTAAGAAGGAATGAAATCTTCTGATAGTCATAGATCATAAAAAACGAACAAAGATGGTTTCTAAGATGAAGTTTTAGAGAAACCAGCAGAAGTATTATTAGTTCCAGAAAGCAGACCAAACACATTAGTTTATTAAAATTCTAGTAGTCTAGAGTCTTAACCTTAATAAGAATTCTAATCATAGTAAAAGTTGGGTCATAGTGATACATAGTAATTTGCAGAAACTTAAAAAAAAATAGCAAAAGTTATTAGATATCCTGAAAATTTTGAAGATTGGACAATAGAAGATTGCTTAAGAAGAATAGAAGAGGATCCCAATGATATATTTCCCGTATTCAGATTAGCTATACTTTATACTGATGATCAATTAGAAAAAGCTAAGGAATATTTATTAAAAGTAACTGAAATGGATCCATTATTTGAAGTTGAAAAAGTAAATTGGGCTTTGGGGACAATATTTGTTTCAGAAAAAGAATGGAAGAAAGCTCTTCATCATTTTCGTATAGGCTATCAATATAGCCAAGATAGAGCTAAATCATATTTAGAAATAGCTAGATGTTATTAAAAACTAGGAGAATTTGAGAAAGCAGAAAGAACTTATCGAAGAGCTATTGATGCTAACAATAAAGATTATTTACCATATTATAAATTAGGATGGATGCAAATAAAAAATAAATAATTAAAAGAAGGAATTGATAATTTATCAAAAGCATAAACTCTTGATTATTAGAATATGGACATCATAATAAAATTAGGAGAATCATTAATGATATATGATGAAGATCCTACGGCTGTAGACGAGGCTGTGATTGTTTTACATAAAGGTATGATTGTCGATCCATTAAATTATGAATGTACAAATGCATTAGCTAGGGCCTATGAAAAGAAAGGTGATCTTGTCAATGCCATCAAATATGGTAAGTTAGCAACAGAATAACCTAATTCTAATTCAAATTCACATTATTTTTTAGGAACTTTGTATATGAAGAAAAAAGATTTCAAAAATGCAGCAGAATCTTTCAGAACCTTGTTAAGAATAAATAATGAGCATCCTGAAGCTCTTATTGAATATGCAACTATTTCAAGCATTCAAGGTAATTTTGAAAAAGCTAAAAAATATCTTAAGCATGCATTGAAATCAAGTCCCAATAATCCAGTAGCAAATATGAGATTGGGAAGAATTTATCAAACTAAATTAAATGAATTAAATTCAGCTATTGAATGTTTTTAAAAAGTTGCTAGAGTAGATCCAACAAATTATAAAGCTTATTATTATATGGGTTAATGTTATATTTAGAAGGGAGAACTTAATAAAGGAATAGAATGTATGAATTAGTCTTTAAAGCATAATTAATCTTTTGGATTAGCATGGAAAGCTGTTGGTAATATTATGTATGAGAAAAATTAACCTGCGAAAGCTTTAAGATATTTCTAAAAAGCCATAGATTCTGATAAAAATGATATGGAAGCTAAAATAGGATTAGGAAATTGTTATTACTTATAAGAACAATTTGAATAAGCTATTTAGATTTATGAAGAAATAAGCCATTTAGATTAAAATGAAGAATTAGAATATAATATGGCTAATTGTTATTACATGAAAAATGATTTTGAAGAGGCTGTATTACATTATTAGAAAGCATTAAGCATAAATCCTGATAAAATAGAATGTTACTATAATTTAGGAAATACATATTGTATTATGGAAAAATTTGAAGAAGCTTTAGAATGCTTTGAGAGAGTGGTTAAAGATGATCCTTAACATTCAGCTGCTTTCTACAATTATGCAAATACATTCTTTGTTTTATAAGATTATGAAAATGCTGCTAAATATTTTGAAAAAGCTGTTGAATTATAACCAGAAAATGTTGATTGGAGGTATTATATAGCTTATAAATTTTAGGAATTATGTAGCTTAATTATATATTGAGAAAGGTGATTTGAATGCTGCAAAAAGACATTTAGATGAAAGTATGAGACTTTAGCCTAAGAATCCAGACACTCTAGTTCGATATGCAAATTATTACTATTAAATTGGAAATTATAAAGAGGCTATCCAAAAAGCAAAAGTATATATATATTCTTATAATTATTAGTAAACTTTAGCATTAGATGAAACAAATGATGAAGCTAAATCATTAATTAGAGAACTTACTAAATGAATATTTAAAAAAAATTTAATATATTCTTTTATTCAAAATTTTTAAACTAAAATATATCATAAATTTATTTACAATATCTATAAAATTGATACAATAATATGATGGTATCAATTTTCATGAGTGTTTAATTATAATATTTTTTGTTTTTCTAAAGAAAAATTTTAAAATAAAAATTCTTCCTCTAAAAATTTTCTTACATATAATTTATTAATGAGAATAACTGCTTTTAACAACTCGAAGCTTTACCTAAAGACCTTATGGATTTAATATCCAACCGATCAAATAGTCTGGTGTTTACACTAAATCTTTTTTTATTTAAGAATTGAAAACAATTGATCTTTTGATGTTTTAGCAGATATTATTTATATTTAAAATTTTAATATTGCCGAATATTTGGAAATAACACATGACTTTCTTAGAATAAATGTAAAATAATAGCTATTGAGAATAAATTAAAGTTAATAAATTTTAGATATTAGAATAAAAAGAATTAAATCTTATTATTAAATAATAATGAATTTGCTAAACTAAAATAAAATAATTTAAAATTAGAAATTGGTATTATCTATTTGATTGTTTAATTTCTAAAAAAAAATCAGATATGCAACTTCTTCTCTAGTAGCTGAAAGAAAATTAATAATAAGATCTATAATTGTAAAGATTTTTGTAAAATCATTCTTAAATGATAGAGAAAATAGTGAGTCAGATAAAGAGATAAATTTATATGTAAAATAATAAAATGTATGATTTCTATGATAATAGATTTTAGAAAATAAAGAATTGAAAATTATCAAAAAAACTAAAAAATTATTTATTTATTTTGATTAATTAAGTTTCTAATTTAATTTTATATAATTTTAAACTTATTCCATAAATATAATTATATTTTAGAAAGTATAATGCTAAATGTTGAATAATTCTTAAGACAAGCTATAAGAATAACTAAAAGATTTTATAAACAAAGTTATTCAAGCTTATTTTTGAATAAAAAGAAGCAAGTATTATAGAATAGAACTAAGAAGATAAAAATGGATGATAGGTTCTGATAATAAATATTTTAATTTATAGAATATTCTAGTATTTTAAGGATATTTAATAGCGGCTGATTCGAGAAAAATTTTAAACTAATTAATGTCTTAACTAGCTTCAATAGGAATAGACTTTGGAAGTCAAAGATCAGTAATGGCCGCTGCTCTAAGAGGTGGTGTAAAGATTTTAGACAATGAGGGAGCTCATAGAGAAACATAAAATGTTATAGGATTTACAGGTGAAGAACGATTTATTGGAGAATAAGGTGCTTTACAATAGAAATCAAATTTCAAAAATTCAATTGGATTCTTTAATAGATTTTTAGGAATATAAGGAAAACAATAATTTATAACAGAAGAAACAAAATGGTTAACAGTTCCTACATAAATCAATGAATCTGGAAAAACATTGTTTGAGGTTTGTTACCTTAGATAAAAGACAAACTTCACTGCAGAATAATTGACAGCCACAATGTTAAATAAATTAAAGCATATTATTTAGCTAAACGATATAAATATTTAATCTAGTAATATTTGTCTAAGTGTACCTGCTTATTATACAGAATCTGAAAGAAAAGCTCTTATTGATGCTTGCAAGATATCAGAAATACCTTTAGAGAGATTACTAAATGAAACAACAGCAATAGCTATAAATTATGGATTATTTAGAAAAACAGATTTGGATCCAGAGAAACCAAGAAATGTAGCTTTTGTTGATTTTGGTCATTCTAAATTTTCAGCTTTTGTAGGATAATTCTATAAGGAAAGAGCTTAAGTATTAACCTAGGTTTGTGAAAGAAATTTGGGTGCAAGAGATATTGATTGGGTTTTATTTGAGAAATTTGCAACTCAATTTGAAAAATAAACTGGTGGATTAAATGTAAAAAAGAATCCTAAAGGAAGACTACGTTTATTAGAAGCAATAGAGAAAGCTAGAAAGGTTTTATCTGCTAATTCAGAGGCATAAATAAGTGTTGAATATTTAGTTGAAGATGAAGATTTTAATACTATTATAAAAAGGGAAGAATTCGAATAATTAGCATAACCTATTTTATAATAAATCTTAATTAAACTTGAATTATTATACAATTAGATTTAAAATCTAAAATTATAAATTCATTCAGTTGAAATTGTAGGAGGAGCAACAAGAATACCTGCTGTTTAAAGATTAATAGAAAAAATATTTAAAATAGAATAAGTTTCAAGAACTTTAAATGCAAGTGAATCTATATCTAGAGGTTGTGCAATGATGGCTGCTATGAAAAGTCCTAATTTTAGAGTTACTGAATATAAAATTGAAGATTGTCATTACTATCCAATTAGAGTTGGTTGGCTATATTAATAAAAATTAAATTAATTAGATAAAAGCAAAGGATTATTGAAATGCTTTCCTGAAAAGTAATGTAAAATTCTATTTGATTAAAATAATCCTATTCCTTCTATTAAAAGTTTTAATTTAATGAAAACTTAACCTATTGAAATTACACTATTTTATGATCCAATTCCTTAAGGATTTGACCCTATATTATGTAAAATTTATTAATTTATTATATTATAGATTAAATTTAAATACCACATTTAGTAGCTAAACATAAAGAACACTCAACTAAAATTAAAATATTGTTAAATTAAAATGGTCTAATTAATTTGGAAGAAGTAGTATTTTAAGAAGAATATATGGAGGATGTCAAAGTACCAGTATGTATATTTATTTAAATTTTAGGTTGAAAAACCAAAGACAATAGCTTCTTAAAATTAGGAAGAAGGTTAATAAGAATAACTTAAAGGAGATGCATCTTAATTTGAAATTAAATAAAAAAAGAAAACTATACAAAATTAAGTTAATTGTGAAACTACTTGTCTTTATTCTTTAACTAAGAAAGAGATTGACCATTATTTTTAATTGGAGTGTGAAATGCTTAATAATGATAATTAAGTTCATGAAACTTAATTCAAAAAAAATTAATTAGAATCATATATTTATAAATGGAGGGAAAATTTGAATGGAAAATATGCAGAAAATGCAAGACCTGAACTCAAAGATAAGATTTATAAAGAATTAGATCTCTAATATGATTGGTTATATGGAGATGGTTAGAAGACTACAAAGAGAGAATATTCAGATAGATATGATAAACTTGTGTAATTATGTGGTCCAATTGCTACTATAGCAGAGGAATATAGATAAATACCTGATATCATTTAATAAGTCTTAGATTAGAGTTCTATTTACGATAATATTTTAAATTCTTAAGTAATTAATTGTAAAATATTATAGGATATATAATATGCTCATCTAACTTAAGAAGAAAAAAATCTTATTGCTAATGAATTAACAATTTTTAAATAATGGTGTAAGAATACATTAAACTTATTGAGCAAAGCTGATAAAACAGTTAGATTTACTGTATCAGTTTAATAAATTAATATAAAATATGCTGAATTATAATAAGTAATGATATCATTAATAGAATTTAGAAATGTCAACCAATTGTAACTAAACCCAAATCTGAAACTATAAAGGAAGAAAGAATTGTTGATGAAACTAATTAATAACATTAAAACATTGATGAAAATAAAATGGAAACTGAATGATTTAATAAAATTATGTTATGTAGATAAATAATAAATTTTAATATTTAATTTATAACTAACAAGTAAACCAATCATAAAAGTTCTTCATATCTAAAAAATGTAGATGGTTTTCTTGCTGTGTTTGGTTTGCATAAAGATCTGTCACTATGTTGTGAGACGGGCCTTTAATTATCTATAACCATAAGAGGAGTTGTAGGTTCGTGGTATTTGGACTCCGTTAATTGAGATTATATCATTTTCTATTAAATTATAAGATTTTGTCTTTTTAGTTGCTAAATATATTATCAATTTTACTTGTATCAATTAATCATTTTTTTCCTTTAATTTTTCAACATGTTCAAATAAATTTTATCTCTCTTATGAATATCTTTATTTATCAAGCTTTAAGGCTTCTATTTTTTGTTCTTCACTTTTATTTGGCTTCAGAGATTCATAATGAGTAATGTAATCCATTACACCTTATTCTATAAGTGGATGCTTTAGAGACTCTTCTATTATTTCAGATATTTTCTTAGAGATATCTAGAGGAAATTTTAAATTAGTTAAATTTGTAGATATTGATCTATGAATAGTATTCAATAAATTTTAGAGTGATAACTTTTACATTACTTATTCAATAGATTATGATTTATTAATTATCTTAGTTAATTTACTTTAAGTAATTTCTCCACTAATTACTTATTCTAACTTTTTTGTATATTCAAAATTAATTTAATCCATTTTTTCTTTTAATAAATTACTATGATTTTCATCATTATCATTATTAATTATATTCAATTAATCATTTAATGAATTAATTTCATCATATAAAATTTAGTTCTATTCTGTTTTTATATTATAATCACCTTTATTTAATTTATTAACCATTTTTTCGAGATTCTCAATTTTTAAATTTAATTAAGTTATTTTAATTTATTTTCTCTAACATTCCATTTTAGATTATCCTAATTATATTTTGAGATCATCAATTTATTTTAAATAATTAATTTCATTTTCTTTTTATTCAATAATATTTTCTGGTTATGATGCTTTTTTTGATGAAAAGAATGATAAATCAATTTATAGACAAGATTTATCAGTCATCATACTCATTGATGGATGTTTTGATTTATTTGCTTTTTCTTAATTAATTTAAGAATCATAATGTTTAATTAAATTATTTTCATTAGGAATATCTAAAATAGATTTTCTTTTTAATTATTCTAATTCTTAATGAGCTAATTATAATTGAAGTTTTAAATCTTTAATCATTTATTACATCATTTCTGATGACATTTTTACATTCATTTTATAATGATTTTTGATAGATTTAGCTCTTGATGCAAATTTTAATGTGCTTATAGTTTCATCCATTGAAGTAACATGTGATGAACAAGTGACAATCTATAAATTATATAGAATTAATAAATTACTAAAGAAGTTTTATAGTTTCCACCTAAAGATTCTTATAATATTCTAGTTAATTTAGAATTTCTATATGGAATATGATCATTATTAGTAGTTAATGCATGAATAACATTTCCTAAACATGAAAGTGATAAATTAATTTTTTTAGCTTCTTCTAAAATTTCACCTTATGCACCAGTTTTACCAACTTTTTCTGAACCAGCTAAATCAACTAAATTTAATTTTCCTTTTTTTTCTGTTTCATTAGGTAATTTCTATTTGATTTCAAGCATAAATATAGTATGAGATCTTGAACTATATTAATTAATTCTGGTAGCAGCAACTTTTCTTGTTTATTCTCCTAATTCTACTATTCTAAGTAATTCATCTTAACTTTATAATGATAATTAAGTTAATCCTTCAACATAAATACCTTTTGTTGCACTCTCTTTAATTTTTAAATCAGGACGCTACAATGAAAGTAAATCAAATAAGGTTTCTTTATAAATCTCAAGCATAGAACATGTTAAAACAAACTCACATTCTGGATCACTTTGATTAATATATGTAAATATCTCTTATCTAATTAAATGTTTAATAAAATCTATTACATTGATCTTGGTATAATTCCTTAACCATTAGAATCTCTTAATTCACCAAACATTGTGTATGTTTTTCCTGATCCAGTTTAACCATAAGCAAATATAGTACTATTATACCCATTTAAAACATCTTAAATAGCATCCCTTCCAACTGAATCATAAACTGTTAATTGATTAGAAGTAGGAGGGAATACTCTATCGAATGTATGGATAACATCTTATTATAGAAGTACCGTATGTATGTCTGGAAAGATGCAAAAGTCTTGGGATGGATTGTTCTCTTCCATTTTATTTTATGGACGAAAGCGAGCAAATACTTTTATATTTGAAGTGTTTTCTGATAACACATTTCTAGGAGAATTCAGTCTTTTAGGCATAGGAGACTTTGCTCTCTTTTTAGCTGAACTATCTGAATCAAATAAGGCAGGGATCTTCTTCATTGTTAACTGTTAAATAAATTATTTTAAAGAATTTCTATAATTTTTTAAGAAAAACCAAGTTAATATATATATATAACTATTTAATATTAGACATGATCAACAAAGATCTATTCTATATAAATTATACAAATTTATGGATTAATAAATATTATGAAAGCTAATATGAAATATATAATGATTATTATTGTGATTTAGTTATTGATTATTAAAAATAAAATATGTAATAACATGTGGATCCATCAATGTAGATTCTTAAGTTGATTACAATTCTAAATTAGAAAGGATAAGAAGTTGTGGAGAAAAAACCTGCCATTTTTAATGAGATAATAAAAATAACAAAATAAGTTTTCGAAGGGAAATAGGATTCTTAACAAATCCAGAGATTACAATAAGATGATATCATTTTATGGGCTAGAAATTAATTATAGGATAGTAAAGCCTAAAGTAATATTAGAATACTCATTTTGTAGTTCGATAATATGCAATAAAGTTTTTACGATACCTAATTACAGATTAAAAGATTTTAGGAATATACAGACAAAAAGGAGTTCATTATTTTATCGCTCGTTCATTATAAAGAGATTGTAAGTAATCGACTAAGAATGATAATTCAAATAGATAATAGCAATAACCTTAATATATATAATAAGAAGTATTGTAAGCATTAAAATTCTCAAACAAATGGTTAGAAAAATTAGGTGGATGCTAAAATTAGAATTTAACAACAACTAGCAAATTTCCTAAAATTTTAGGAAATGCTTTAGTTGCAATGGCAGAATCATGTGAAGAATAACTTAAAAGATATGCAATTTTAACATTAAGAGCTTTTGCATTAAATGCTCCTGAAATGTGTAGTTGGTGTGGTGGTATTAGAATATTGATTGAAAATGCTATGGAACAATCTTTATCTGATATATCTGATTAAATAGTATGGACATTATTATATTTATTGAATGAACCATCTGCTAGAACTACAATAAGAATGTATTTAGATTTATCAAAATGGTTTTCTATTTTTACAGAAATTGATCCACCTATAGATTAAGCTAAAAATGATAAAAATAGAACAATAAATAATAAATTTGAAGCAAATCTTTAATTAGCTAAAAAAGCTATAATTACTGTTTTAAAATCTTGGCAGGGTTTAATATATTTAGGAGATGAAAGATAAGCTTTAAAATCATTAATTTAAGTATTAAGATAACCTATTAAACCTGCAATTAGAAATTCAATATATGATATTCTAAAATCTTTACTTTCGTTAGGAAATAAAGAAAATGTTGGTGTTAGTGTAGTAAATAGATAATAATAATAAGATGGATTTATCGGAGAATATAAAATCAATAATTTACTAAATAATTATTTAGTAATGTTAGTATAAGTATTATTGGATTGTGATTTATTTAAAATATTAGTAGAATTGAGTGGTTTATAAGATTAGGATGTATCTGGACCAGCTTAAAGATTTTTAAAAGAATTATCATCATTAATGTTTAATTTAATACCAGATTGTCATAAATATACAGATTTTTTAATTGCTGCTGCAAATCAAAATGATCCATTTTTATAAGATTTGAAATCTTGGTCTTCTGAAATTGTTAATACAATGGGTAATTATGCTTTTGATAATACTAATAAAAAGGGTAGAAATTAAATATCTAAATTTTTATATTAATGTGAGAGTTTATATTTGACTACTAAATTAGGATTACCAACACATAAAATTAATAATGAAACTGTAGGAATTATTAGAGGATAAATTGAATAAGAAACAGATCAAAATAAATTTGAAACTCTATTAAGCAAATCTTATGTTTTAGAAAAAAAGGAAGATAATTCTAAATGGAATTGGAATTATATTTTAGATTTATTAGAAAATTATTTAAATGATGAAAGTCGTTATTAAGAGACAATAAAAAATAGATTTTTAAAAAATTTATTGACATATTATTTTCCATCTAATATGTAATTTTGTAAAATGGATTGGAAACCAGATTTTATACAAGCAAAATGTGGTTATTTATTATTAAAATTATTACTTAAAGATAAGGTTGGAAGAGAAATAATATCCTCAACTACTGGAGGATATTTAGGAATAGCAAAAAGTTATATTTAAGATTTGATAAGTTTATTAAAAGCAGATAATTCATATATATTAGGTTTTAAGTCTTCTATAGATTAAAATGCTTAGAAACATGCAGCTTAACACTTATTACAACCTGAATAATATTCATAAAAAATGATACGAGAATATATATCTTGGATTGGTCTTTTCTCTTGTTCAAAAAGTGGATAGACTATTTTAGAGAATACAGGGATATTTACAATATTAAAAGACTACATTTTAGAAAGTGGAATAAGAGATCATGTTTTAATACATGTATTTATTGAATTTTATAATTTAGTTAATTCATTCATTTGATTATGGGAAATAATCTTAGGCTAGAATATTTTTTAGTCATTGTTTAGAAAATGGATCAAACACTCTTATTAAAGCATGTCTTGATTTTATCAGATTATTATATAGGAGTGAATTACATGATTTCAATATTTGGGCAATTGATTTATTAATAGGTTGTTTAAAAAAGTCTGATGATATAGGATTAAAGGCATTATCAGTAATTGAAGAAGTGACATTGGATATTGAAAATGCAAATAGATTTTTAGAGAAAGTAGATATTCATAGATTGCTTTAATTATGTTAGAAATGTGAAAGTCAATTAATAATAATGTTATTATCACACAAAAAAGGATTTGAAAAAATAAATAAAGATTTAAATGGATATTTATTGAATGAAATTGAAAGATGGAAATAGAGTGAATGTGAGAATTATATTGAGAAAGTAGAAAAAGTAATGTGCGATGCATTAGAATTTGTATCATCTGAAGAACAATAATATTTATTTAAATTTCCGTTACTTTAAAATAATAATGAAAATCCAAATGCTTCGATAGGATTTGTATATAAGATGCCTTGGAGTATGCTTTTGAACTGTGAACTTGGTAGTGAAGGAAATGGTATATATAATTAATTAGAATAGAACTTGTTTATTTGAATGTTACAATAGATTATCCTGGAACAACTAATTTATTCATATTAGTTGGAAAGAGTGACAAATTTATCTAATTTCATAGTAACAATACTTTTGTTTTAAAACTTTAAATAAATGTGGGAAAGATATTTGTAGATAATTAATTTAAAGAAGTTAGTGATCCTCATTTAATAAGATGTGATGCTAATGATAAAAGAAATAAATCATATGTGAAAGATAATTAATTAATTATTGAAAAACATGGAATACTTTTTATATTTGATTGTAATAATAAATACATATATAAAATTTAGAATTTGATTCAACATTAAGATTAAATTAAATAAAAGTATTTGTGAGATTAGGAGAAACTAAAAATAATACAGTTAAGATGCCTGCACATATATTTGGTGAATTAGCATTTACAGAATCTGGTTTTAATTTATTAAAAAATTATATCGATTATTTTGTATAATCAATAAGAAGTCCTGATGTAGCATTTTAATAAAAACGTTCTGCATTATGGGCAATTGGACATATAGGATAAAGTAAATATGGAATTAAATTAATAAGAGAATTAGGACTTATTTAAGATTTAGTTAAAATGGCAGAATAATATCCAGTATTATCTTTAAGAGGTACATGTCTTTATACTCTTAATTTAATTTGTACTACTAGTATGGGGAGAAAAGAATTAGAAAAATTTCAATGGATATCTCATTTAAATTGCAATTCTGGATGGTTATGTATACCAAAGAATATTTATCAATTTTTTTATATAAGAGTATCATTATAAGAAAGTCATAGATGTTATTGGGCTTTACAAGAAGATATTTGGGATAAATATTCTAAATTTCAATCATATTTTAAAATGAATTAAACTTAAAAAAAAATCATTGATACAATCTCATTAATGAGCAATTCTATCACTTATAAAGAAGCAGATAAAGAATTAAGTAGTTTAAGAAATTAAAAACCTGAATGTTTTTAAGATGTTGATCTATTTCATTTAATATTGATGATGATTACATTTTATTAATTTTCAGCTTAAGCAAAGAATAGAATTTTTAGTAATTTTGATAGGATATTCACTTATTAAACAATCAATATCATTATTGAACATCCAATATATTAATAATTACAATGTCAAGAACCATTAATTATTTGAATATTAATATATAATTAATATTAAAATATATATATATATCAAATATTTCTATACCCACATCTTTATTAAGAATCATAATATATTTAAGTTTGTGAAAATGGATCACTTTTTATGTTAAAATAATCTAAATAATTATCATGGACTTTCTACCTTGACATCCATTTTTTATCAATATCATAAATGAAAAATAAATATTCATAATAACATTTATCAATTTCATTATAATAATAATAGTTGTGAAAGATAATCTTAACAGGGAAATATTAGCCATTATAATTGCATACTTGCATATTATTAATACACTGGTTAAAAGTATTTAAAGTAAAGAAATTGCTTAAATGTTATAAACTATAATTATTTTCTGAAAAATATAATGGAATAGGTAAATATCCAGTCTCACTTGCATGATGAATAACCATATCTGAATTAATTCCTATAAAATTTAAATATAGGTCATTCATAAATCTTGACTGAGTAATTACCTAATCTTCTAGAACTTTTGATATATAACCAGTACATGGTTTATCAATATTATTCTCGAAATTATATAATTCATTTTCATTCAATATAACGAATTGTGATGAATCTAATTTTTTATTATGCAATTTCTCAAAAGATTATTTCAATTATTCATTTCCTCTACTTAATATCTAAATAACATTTTCAACAGGAGTAAAGCTTTTCTAAATTGGATCAAATGTAATAGTTGTAAGGCTACCATTTTTATCAATTCTATTAATCTTGTAATTATAGCAGTAAAAATCAATATTCAGTTCACCAAGTTTATATTGATTATCTGCATTTCTAGGGATTTATACATTTGATTTTAGTCTAAAAATGTTATCAAATACAATTGATTTAGGTATACTTACTTCAATAAAGTTTACAAATTTTTATTATAATCCTTTTTACTACATAAATTATTCATAGAACTTATCCTCTTTTGTGTATTGATTTTTTTATTTTCTTTTTTGAATTTATTTTTTAATTTCTTTCTAATAATCGACATCTATTGATTTTTTAGCATAAGTAATCATTTTAAGAGTTTAATAAAGATATTAATCTGGGATAAACTTATAATGTTGATAAAAATATATATAAATATTTTCATTAATTACTCTAGAATTAGAAAATTTTATAATGAGAATTATCTTAGAAAGTATTAAGAATTTATCATTTCAATTTAAAAATTCTGATTTTACTCTTTATAATATTTGGAATAAAATCTAAAATTTTGATAGTATATTATATTATTATATATTATATATATATGTAAGGCTTAACTAATATTGGAAATACTTGTTATATGAATTCAGTTCTACAAATGTTGTATAAATTAGAATAATTTATGCTTGATATAGATGAAATTTACACAAATTCAAAAGAGAATAGTTTTTTAATAACTTATTACTTTATGGAAACATTTTATCTAATGAATAATTAAGAAATGAAACCAGAATGGCTCAATCAATTTAGATAAGTTATTAGGTAATAAAACTTATCTATAAATAAGCTCATAATTTCCATAATTTAAACTTAATGAATAATAGGATGCTTAAGAATTTCTATTAGCACTTCTTGATATGTTACACGAAGAATTAAGAAATCCAAAATGTGGTAAAATGCCTATATTTGAATTTCAATAAGATGGTTAAGTAATGTTAACATCACTTGTTAGTTATCTTGAATTTGAAAATTCTCCAATAACTAAACATTTTGGTAATATCATTAGAACATAAATTATTTGCCAATCTTGTAATTGTATTCATTATCATAATTAATTAAGATAGCAATAACAAATTAGAAATTGCCTTCTCACTCCTCATTAATGTAGAAGGCAGTAAAAATACAGTTTTAGAAATGCTTTAATAATCATTTAATAAAGAAGTTGTTAAAATGAAATGTCCTAAGTGTGAATTAGAAAAAAAATTTATTAAATAAACTACTGTTATAAAATATTCAGAATAACTTATTATATGTTTAAATAGATATAGAATTCCTGGTGGACTTATTGATAGATGGTTAAATGGAAATGAAATTTAAAAAAGTACTAAATAAATTACTTTAAACAATAAATTTATTATTGGTTAATCTGAAAAGACTTTAATTGGGATTGTTGATCATAGTGGTAATAAAGATAAAGGACATTATCGTTATTTTCATTTAAGTGGTAATGATTGGGTTTGCTTTAATGATGCTAAAATTAATTTACTATGTGAATAATCAATACAAAAATTAATTCACCAAAATGAAACTTCTTACATTTTGCTTTATTCTTAATAATAATAATAATGATTAAAATTTTCATATTAAATCTTATATAATTTTATCAAGAACTCAAAATTTATATTTTCTATTTCACTTATTCAATCTAATCTTTATTAAATTATTCATTTGATCTTAAATATTTTAATTATTCTACTAAACTTTCAATCTATTTATCTTTCATTTTAAAAAACTCATAATTCATCTCTAAGATCTAATGTTTCAAATATTCTAAAAAATTATTTTAAAATTCAATATTTTTCATTTTTTCTAATATATTATATTCATTTTATTTTTTTGTTTCTTCCAAAAATTCTAAATTAATCTCATAAAATTAAAATAATTTATCAATCTCAGTTAATTGATGCTCATTTTTAAATTAATTTAATTTTTGCTTTAGCTCTTAAACTTTTTTTAGTTTAACACATAAGAAAAATAATTAAGCTAAACTAAATTAATATATAAAATGTTGTTTTGTTATTTAATATTTATCAAAAATTTGATATTATTAGTTTGCAATCAAAAATGCATCATTATAATTTTCATTATATATTAATTATTGAATACTGTGATGATTTATTTCAATAATTTTATTGATATGACAATTAATTTTAGATAAGTATTCTAATTATATTTAAAAGTTGTCTGAATCTAAATTATATTTAATTCTAAATTAATAATAGTCTAGAAAAGCATCTTTTGTTTCATTATTATTTTAAATACTAGTCATTGATTATTCAATTTTTGATTAGATCTAATCTAAAATATCATCTGATTATCCTTAATAAAATTAAATATCAAAATTTAAAATATCTAATTAAATTGTTTAAACATTTGTATTATTTAATTCATTTGCTTCTTAATATAATTATTTACACTAATCTAAATCGTTCATTAAAATCTTTATTTTGATTTAATTAATATATGATTTTGAGAGTAATTTCCTCAATTATTTGATATAAAAATCTTGATACTCTTTATTATCAACATTCAAATTTTGTTATTGTTCTTATCCCTTATCAATAAATTATAATAAAGATTTTATTAATACTTTAACTAAATCAAATTTAGAGAAGGATTCTATAAATAATCCTTTATTGTATAATAATTAACCTACTACTATTAAAGTTTCAATATATTAATGAAAGTGAACATTTTCCATATTCTCAAAAAACTCTTATTAATCAAAAGTTTGATTATTTTAAATTTCTTTATAAAACTTTGAATGATTTTCTATAATATTTTACCAATGTACTAAAGATTTATCTGCTAATTGTAATTCTTAATTATTATAATTAATTCTAAATTAAATGCCATATAATTCTGCTAAGAATAATTACTTCATCAATTCACCTGAATATGTATTCTCATAATCTCCTAAAGTTGCATAAGATATATATTTTTAACATAAATCAAATTTACTATTATAATAAGTATAAAATGCCAATTAAATAAGGTTTTTTCTAAATAGATAATAAGGTTATCTAAAATTAGAGATATTTAATTTTACTTCTAATGTTTTAAAAATGATTATAAATAAATCTCTAAATTATTTTCAATAGTTGCAATTTAGAGAGATAAGGTTTCCTTTTCTATTTCATTTATTGAATTTAATTGTTATTCATTTAATTCAATCAATTTGTTAATATTTTATCTGACATCTTGATTACTTAGACAGAAATTATATTACAATTTTTGAATCCTTTGAAATGGAACAGAAATATAATTAAATCTCAAAATAATATTTTTCATTTTTATATTACTATTAGCACAAATTAAAAAAAATATGTTTATTGTTTTTGCAGCAGCATTTTAATTGTCAACTAGAATCACTTAAGATTTTAAGATGCCAATATTAAATTCAGATCAAATTAATCCATGGTTTTTAGAAGGTGAAAATTTTAATGAAGCTTTTGTTGATTGGGAAGGAAATCGAGTACGATAATTTCATACATTTAATGATAGTAAGAATTATAATTTAGTTAAAATAGATCCATACCCTATAAATATCACTTTTAGAGTTTCCACCTAAACTGAATTCTATCCATTTATTTAGGAAAGTCTACAATAACGATATCCAGAAGTAGATGAAATTACTTATACTTTATTACCAAAATAATCTTATTAATTAGCAATTGAATATAATTGTACATAATTTAATGAGGAAATCTAATAAATAGATTTAATTTTAATGGAATAATCATTTAAGAATAATCCTGAAAATTTAGATGAATTAAACTAAATAACTATTCGATACTTTAAATATTGTTAAAATCCTCATACAGTCATTATTGATTTACAAAATATTGTAGCTTTAATATTTATTTACTTTGCAACATCTTGTAGTTCATTATTATGCATAAGAAAAATAACTACTTAGTTTGAATTTACTCCTATTAAATAAATAATTACACTTATTTTGATTCCTGCTATTGGATCATTTCTATTTTATCCAAAATTAATTTCATTTATTCTAGCTTCAATTGTATTATATGATTTTATCTAATATTACACAAAATCATCAATCCTTAGTTTATTATTATCTCCATTAATTTTATATGCTTAATACTGTATATCTCTATTTATTCACATGGAATCATCTAATTTATACTCTTTGTTTTAATAATTAATCCCTTATATTATAACAATTATTTTACTAATTTAAGTCAATCGAGTAAACTATAAAATTAATTTAGCGTATAATAATCGCCAATAAATTCTAGCTATTTTTATTTTTTTGCATAATTTGGTTAACAGAAATTTATTCATTAGTACATCGAACACAAGTTGATAAACATTTATTAATTCAAAATCCTTATGAATAACAAATATTTATTAAAACTAAATTTTCATTTTTAAGTTAAACAAATGGTGTAATATGGCAATAAAAGTAATATTTTAATATAAATTAGAAATATTGATATACATTTATATTAATTAATTGGATTATCTTTAATATAATCATTTATTTTTAGACATGGATTATTCAATAAAGAACATATTATAAATATTATTGTTGTTGGGATAACTTAATTTACTGGATTAATAATATTTGATTTACTTTATAGATATAAACATAATCCACCATTCTTAACTTTAATTACTGGATTTATTTTGTTAGGAATGATAATAAATTATTTAAGAACAGGATCAGGTTTAAGAAATCCTTATCTTGAATTTGAAACAATTGAAGAGAAAATTAAGATATGAAAAAAATATTAAAAATAAAATAATTTAAAAATATTCAATTTATTTTAATTTAAAAAATATATCGATAATCTATAGATTATTTTTTATTTATTAATAATTAATCAAATATTTTTTCAATTATTACTAAAATCCCAGTTCTATATGTAATCATCAAGACAATTACCAGAATCAATTAAATCTCCAGTTGCTCTTTTAGATTATGAGAATCTTTGAATTAATTATGGTATTTTTATTTCTTTTTTCTCTAATAAAATCCAATCTAAGCCTTTGAAAAATTAATGCTTTTTCATTTGTTCTAAACTAATTCTCTCTAAAGCAGATCTTTTTAAAATTGAACTTAAAATATCTTAAGCGTCTGAAGATAAATTTTATGGAATAATTATAGGTTCTAAGAATTATAAAATTAATATACCAGATTTAATTTTATTAATAAGTACATTTAAATCTCTGGTATAAAAAGGAGGATATCCAGTAAGCATTTCATATAATAATAAACCTATTTAATAAATATCTGTTGATCTGGACATTCCTATATTATTTAAGACTTCTGGGGCAAGATATGCTGGAGATCCACATATTGTAAATGTTAATTCATTTTCAGTTATAAATTTACATAATCCAAAATCAATAAGTTTAATGTAACCATCAGAAGATATACAAATGTTTTCTGGTTTTAGATCTCTATATAATATATTATGTTTATGCAAATGTTCTATTGCAAGAATTATTTATCCAATTAATAACTTACTCACAATTTCATCTAATATTACACCTCTTGTCATGTACATAGCTAAATCTCCTTATTATAAAAACTCTAACACTAAATACAAGTTTTTTGTTGTCTGAAAAGCTAAAAGTTATTATCAATCATATACACATAAAATATTTTACAATAAATGGATGATTTATCGTTCTCATTATTTTAACTTCTGTTAAAACATATTGCAAATTATTTGATTATTTCAATCTTTATTTATCTTATTGTTTTAAAGCGTAAACTCTATTTTCAAATTCTACTTTAAAAACATATCCAAAAGATCCTTTTCCAATACAATGTAAAATTTTAAAGTCACTTAACTTTTTCTAATTCTTAGTATAACTAAATTATTAATCTGGTCTAAAATTTAAAAAATTAGATGAATTTTAATTATTATTTTAAATTAGTAATTAATTATCTTCATATTCCAATATCTTAATCTTATTTGATAATTACATTTCATATATAAAATATTAAATTGTTTTTTTTTAATCTTTTTTTTTATTACAAGTTTTGTATTATTTTTAAAAATGCTTATAATACTTTACTGCATCTATTAATTTATTTCTCCAATTTTAAGCAATTTCAGCATTTCTAAAGCAATACCATTATACATTATTTTTTGAATGTTTAATTTCTAAGTAAAAATAGTTTGCCTTTGAAAAATAAATATTATTGTTTATTTTAACAGAATTTATTAATTCTAATGCAATTATTTAAATTGGTTTAAATGGATAATCTTCCTTATTAGAATATCTTGCAAATATTCCATTTATAGGATCCAAAAATAAGAAGTTACTTGAGTACTTAAAACCAAGCCAACCAACTTTTTAAGCAAACCCTATGATAATTTAAGGTTAATTTTAATTATGAAGGAGACTCTTTATAAATAAATACATACATCAGAATTCATAAAAGAATTAGAAATCAAAATATAAGATTTTTAAATTCGTTCTTGTAACATCAATAATTACTTAGTCATTGAACCAGCTATTTAAATTGGTCTTTTATTTTTAAATTTAATATTTGTGTCAATATTTGGATGCTTTAATAATAATTCCATTATTTATTCATTATCTAATTTAGCAGCTATATGAAGAGCTGTTCCTCTTTTTGAAATAAAATTAGGGTCTTTGACAGTTGCTATTAATGCTGATACTAAATTAACATGTTGCTTTAATACAGCAATTGTTAAACAATTCATTTAATTATTAGATATTGCATCTACATTTGCTCCATTCTGTTATAAAAGTAAAAATATTTTAATATTACCTTCCCATGCAGCTTAATGAATTGGTTAAAAGTTTATTTAAAAATTTATTAAGTCAATATTGTCATTTTTTGCTTAAATTAGTAAATTATTTATTTGTAGAATATTATTTTCTTTAATAGCTTTTATCAAATCGATATAAAGCTCTTCTTAATCTATTGATTAATCACTATTTTCATTCATTTCGTAATCACTATCTTAATCTATTGCTTATTTACTATCTGAAGACATTAAAAATATTAAAATATTTAATTAAACAAATAAAATATATATAAATTTCTTAAAAATAACTTATTTTTTTGTTTTCTACATAATTAAGATATTCGCAATATGGTATTATTACCAATTATTTAAAAAAATAGTTATCCTATCTTTTGGATATATAATTATTTTTCAATTTTTCTTATAAAAAGAGTTGAAATTAGTAACTAATGACTATAATTTATTATTCTCATTATGAAAATCAATGATTGTAATTTCATACTTCTTAAATAAGATATATAAATATCTAAATATTTTCTTTTATTGTTTCTTATTTTTATTTAAATCTATATCTGTTATTCCTGATAAACATTTACAATATTCCTTTTGCTATATAAAATGGTCAGGCAAATTCACTTGAAATTCTTAAATAATGTAATTAAATCTCCATTGATATATATTTGAAATTTCATATAATACTTAAACATAGCGGATAGGCTAATTCAATAGTAACAAATAAATTTACTTTATTTTCTAAATTTAATTAATAAAACCTCAATAATATAAATTTATTTAACAGGAATAATGATGTATTTCTATCTTTTTTTCTTATTTTTAAGGATTTATTAACTTCACATCTAATTTGAAAGACTTACAATAATTTAAGTCAAAATAAAAGCTTATCCATTTTATCTAAAATAATAATTGAAACAATTATAAAAATCATTTAAAGAGTGAAAAAATAGAAAATTTAATAAAAGTATTAAAAAAGAATGAATTTTATTATTTGAAAAAAATTTTTATTTTATATTAGCATAATAATCAAATTTAAAATTAAAATTAAAATGCTTCATCATGATTTCGTTCATCAATTTTCTTAAAAAATTATACAATTATTTTCATTTTCTTTTTATTTTTGATTGATCATTTCGTTTTCTTAAATTTAATTTCCAACATATTAAGGAGGATAATTCGGCTAAATTTAGTAATTATATGTTTAAGGAGTAGGATTATATTAAATTTAGTTAGGATAATTGGAATAATTTTATTATTGCATAAAAGGGTTTTAACTAAAATTTTAATTAGGATTTTAAGAGCAGTATTAATTAGAATACTATTCTTAGTTTTAAAAAGGAGTTTCGTTTTAATTATACACTTAATCTTTTGTTTGGATGTTGTTAACTTTGTTTTTGTTTTATTAATTATCAAATTTAGAAGTTTTATAAAACCTTCTTTTGTTGTATATCTTATAACATAAAAAGGTTGACATAATAAAATCAAGAATAATAATTATTCCCATATTAATGAGAAGACAATAAGAAAGTGATAAAGAAGTACCATTTAAGGTATCATAAACTGAGTTCATTCTCTCTTAAGCGGTGCTCAAAAAACAATTTCTTGAATTTTATTCTTCTAAATTTAGGATTAAATCAATCATATAGGAATAACTAACAATAACTGTGATAGCAACTAAATAAATTGATACTTCTTTTAGAATAATAAATATTTTTTAGTAACACGATTTACATTCCTTTTAAAGGCAAGGCTAAACTTCTGTTACAGTAAAAAATAAGAAAACACACAATTCAATACAAGCAAATACTAATTAACATGTAATTAATATATTTTAGGAATCAAATCTTTCACCTAAACTAGTAATTTATTCAAAGCTAAATATATTTAAATTAAATACTTATCCAGTCTACAATCCTTTTTATAATAGATTTGATTTTATGCAAGTAATTAATATTCAATATTATTGCTTATTTAATATAATGGTCTTTCTTAAATAATTAAATTCGCAATATTGTTCATGCTGAATAATGCGCTTTCGGTTGTTTTTGATATTTAAAGGTAAGTATTATCTATTTCACAATTATAAGGGATTGGAGATAATAAGATATAATCTTAATCTAGTTTCGGATTTAAACTTATTTCTGATGAATCAAAGCAGACTCCTTTTCCTTTTGTGATAATCATGTTTACTAATGGAGTAATTTCGGTTGATTGACTTGTGTATGCATAAAATCCATTATCATATATTAGAGTATAATTATTTAATTCTAATTCATAATTTGATAGTTGATATTGAGAAATTTTGAATTCTCGTATAGGACATGGTTCATCTTGTAAAACGCAATAAAAATTTTCTGGGTTTTAAGTTTAACAAACTTTGTAACCATTTTTATTACAATCTTCTTCTGTTATTGTTTTATTTTCTAATAAATCATAAAAATTTAGTTTTGATCTTCTTCCACATATTTGAACTGCCTAATAAGAATTATTTGAAGGCTAAACCCATTGTTTGATTTAAATTGAACTTTTAGGATTGAAATTATAACATCCTGTTAATAACTACCAATCAGTGCAACTTGAAGAAAAAAGTTCTTTATCTTCTATACATATACATCCTTATTATGTTCCAGGTATTTCATAAATACTAAGAATTTCATAATTCATTGGGCATGCTGTTGATATTATGATTTCAAGCAGGACTCCTTATTACCAATTGTTCAAAATGTTTTTCATTTAAGTTGTAGATGATGAATTTGTTGCTAGTATTATAGATGACAACACTACAGCTACTATTGATAATATTAAAACAAGAACTATATTCAAAAATCTATAAGTTCTTCTTTTATGATCAGATATGTTTTCTTTATAGCCTTTATAACAGCAATAAATGCATAAACAAATTCCTGCTAATCCATCTCTTTCCTCATTATAATTTGCACAACAACAATGGCATAAACAACAAATGATTTCCATCTTATGTGGTTATTTCTTGATAATTTTTATTAATCGATAAAAATACTTGATAAATGAAAACAATTCATAGTAATAGAAAATAGTTTAATATCAAATTACATTTAATTAAATTTGTTATATGAATTTTTGTATGAAGAAACTTTTGAAAATTATTGAAGCACCTTGAGTACAATATTTCAATCATCCATTAAAGCTAAAATTTGCTCAGCTTTAAGTATAGAAAATTTCATTCTTGAAAGTAAATATTTTAATTCGTTATTTAATCAATATTTTTAAACTATATGTATTCAGATAAAGTATTTTAAAAAAAAGAGCGAAAATTGATTGATTCTACTTATTTAATTAAGCCTACAGCCTATAGATATTTAATATAAAGTTCATTATTAAATATTATAATTAATAACAAAAAAATAGCTAAAAGATGTAATTTTTTATTTTATTATACTGTCAAATGTAAACTCAAATTTTCTAAGGGTGCTTGTTTTGTTACAAATAATTTTCTACAAAAACTAAGACCACATTTTACCTCAATACTGATCCACTTCTTTAATATCTTAAATTACTTAAATTTGAGTTTGACCTTAAAAATTTTTGGGCTTATTATATTTTAAGGCAAGGAAGTACTTTAGAATCTTTATTTGTTTCTACTCTTTCAATGCTAAATTTTCTATCTGCATAACTATCTTCATCATAATTAACTTTTCTCCAAATCTTAGTATGAAAATTTCTTGTTTTAGCACAAGATTTTGATTTGAGATTAGTACATGAATTTTTGATTTATAAACTTTCATTTAATGACTTTTTTTACGAGTTAGGATCTTTAATCTTTTTAAACAAGCTCTAATACTAAATAAGAGCTGAAAGTTCACTTTCTCTCTATGATTTGTTTTCAATTGTGATATTTTGAAATTTTTAATTTTTATTTTCTAGAGTTAAATGATACATTCTAACTGTGGAATTGTTAGTTGAAAAATTTGTTTAGATACTTCTATTATTAGCTCTAGACTTGAGTGCTTTAATTTTATGATAAAGCATTAAATTATTATAAATTTCTTGGAGTAAATGAATTTTTCTTTAAATAAGATATTTTAATTGCACATAACTCGTCATTTTATATATATTAATTAAAAATTTTTAGAAAAATTATTTAATGTTAAACAATTGGAAGATATTCAAAATGAGATTTGAATCTAAGAATAATATTTTTTATTCCAATTATTATTTGAAAAATCATGTTTTTTTATGGGATTGCTATTTTTTTAAGATAAATTAGGGTTCAATAATTTGTTTTAATTGCTAAAAAATTATGGTAAAATTATAACTTGTGTGATTTTTTTTGGCTTAATTTTCAAGACGTTGATTTTTCTGATTTTTGGGTACGAATTAGGATACATCTTGTTATCACAGTTGAATTTTTGGTTTACATGATTATTCTTTAAAATTATAGATTTTATTTATCACTCCAATCAATCATAATATTCCAAGTGCAAATTTGATTACCCTTACAGCAAAAAACAATCAAATTTTCTTTTTGAATGAATTACATTTTTTTTTTAAATCTTATATTTTTCTGTCTAATTCATTCAAGCATAATTATAAGAATTCTGTTTTTTGAACCTTTATTTGTAGAAAAAATAAATTGAAGAAATGGATTAATATTATGATTTATTTAAAAATGAATAATTTATATATTATGCACAGTTTAATTATTCAATTTGTAAATTATTCAAAAATAAATGTTACTTCAAAATTTTTCAAATAATATTTGATAATCCTTTCATTTTTCTCAAATTGANCTTCATCATAATTAACTTTTCTCCAAATCTTAGTATGAAAATTTCTTGTTTTAGCACAAGATTTTGATTTGAGATTAGTACATGAATTTTTGATTTATAAACTTTCATTTAATGACTTTTTTTACGAGTTAGGATCTTTAATCTTTTTAAACAAGCTCTAATACTAAATAAGAGCTGAAAGTTCACTTTCTCTCTATGATTTGTTTTCAATTGTGATATTTTGAAATTTTTAATTTTTATTTTCTAGAGTTAAATGATACATTCTAACTGTGGAATTGTTAGTTGAAAAATTTGTTTAGATACTTCTATTATTAGCTCTAGACTTGAGTGCTTTAATTTTATGATAAAGCATTAAATTATTATAAATTTCTTGGAGTAAATGAATTTTTCTTTAAATAAGATATTTTAATTGCACATAACTCGTCATTTTATATATATTAATTAAAAATTTTTAGAAAAATTATTTAATGTTAAACAATTGGAAGATATTCAAAATGAGATTTGAATCTAAGAATAATATTTTTTATTCCAATTATTATTTGAAAAATCATGTTTTTTTATGGGATTGCTATTTTTTTAAGATAAATTAGGGTTCAATAATTTGTTTTAATTGCTAAAAAATTATGGTAAAATTATAACTTGTGTGATTTTTTTTGGCTTAATTTTCAAGACGTTGATTTTTCTGATTTTTGGGTACGAATTAGGATACATCTTGTTATCACAGTTGAATTTTTGGTTTACATGATTATTCTTTAAAATTATAGATTTTATTTATCACTCCAATCAATCATAATATTCCAAGTGCAAATTTGATTACCCTTACAGCAAAAAACAATCAAATTTTCTTTTTGAATGAATTACATTTTTTTTTTAAATCTTATATTTTTCTGTCTAATTCATTCAAGCATAATTATAAGAATTCTGTTTTTTGAACCTTTATTTGTAGAAAAAATAAATTGAAGAAATGGATTAATATTATGATTTATTTAAAAATGAATAATTTATATATTATGCACAGTTTAATTATTCAATTTGTAAATTATTCAAAAATAAATGTTACTTCAAAATTTTTCAAATAATATTTGATAATCCTTTCATTTTTCTCAAATTGAAGATGGAATAAGGATATAATGAATTAATTTTTGAAATAATTCATTCTTTAACATTAAATGAAAATATTTGGCTCGATGATGACTCTAATAAAAAATCTCTAAAGCGAATTCAAAATATTAAATTATTTATTCTTCTTCAACTATATCAACAAATTAGAATAAAAAATAGGCTAAATAACTTATATTTTTTTGATTATTTAACAATGTAATTTTATAATTCAGGTTCATTCAACAATGATTATTTATTTATAAAAAATATACTTTTTCATTAAAATATTTAATCCAAATATTAAAAAGCTGAGAGTTAATAAGATAGTTCATCTAACTATATCCTCAAACAGCTTTATAACGCTCTAAGTTTTTTGAAACGAAAAACAAAAAAATTTATTCCAGTATGAATAGTATTTTTATCAGATCAAGTAATTGTAAAATAATTGTAATGTAATATCAATAATTCAAATATTTATTTGATGAAATAGTTTGAATATTGTTCAATTTCAATATAAAAAAAAAACAATAGAAATGGTTTCTGATAAAATAAACCTATCCAGATTCAAATTGTTGTAAATTCTTAAATTATACACTTATTGTTTTTCTAAATCTCACTTAAATTTTGTATTTATTCTGATGTTGTTATTTCATTTTTTCAATCAATAACTCTTCGATATAAACCTCAAACAAAAATATTAGAAAAATTTACAACGAAAATATATGTGACAGTAATTCCTTTTATTAAAATTTAGACTATTCGAATAGTTAAGTATCAGATCATAAATATGAATTAATATATTAAATAAAAATTAATTACTAAAAAAAGATAGCTATCCTTTAAGGCGATCAAAGTAAATTTAGGTTTTTGAATTCTATTTAATAGAACTAATGCAGAATTAATTAGTCATCGAGATTAAATTAATTATATATCATAAAAGGTCTTTTTTCATACTTCATGTTGACTGAGGAATCAATAAACCAAAAATTTCAACAAATTCATTTCCTATCAATTACTTCTTATCTTGAATAGATTTCATATACAGCATCACTTTCTTACAAAAGAATTCGGGTACCTTTTCGTAATCTTAAGGTTTTAATTTTTTGACACTCCCAAAGTTTCATTAGCAACTAAGAGTTCAGGCTTAGATCGTCGTTTAAATTATTCGGGCATAAATTTTTCTTAGTTATTTACAATTTAATCATCAAAGAATGTACAATTCTTGGATGGTAATTTGATGATTATCTTAATCTTTCAATCCTCATTTTATTATCCTTTTTTTAATTGCAATATTTATGGTCTAACCTCAATAATGTCTGTCTAAAATTGAATTCAAATTTTACTTTGAAATTCCAACAAAAGTTACGCCATCAATTACTAGAACCAATTATTCATCTGTATTTCTTTCCCTTCTTATCTGGAAGCATTCTATAAATTTAAATAATTAAATTATTCGCCTATCACCATATTTTTAACTCTTTCTTGTATTATCAATAAATTTTATATCAATCATAGTATATTTATTCATTAGAGAGTATTCAATCAATTTATTTATATATTAACTAAAAATTTTGTTTAGATATTAATATAAAGTACATCCAACTTTGATTGGAATTTAAATTCCAATATTCTTGATAGAAAATTTTATTTACATAACATCAAGAAATAACAAATATACACAATATATGAAGTGCTTTGTTCTTTCATAAATTTTAATAAGATTTTAAACTAAGAATTTGAGGATAAGAAATTCTTAAAATATATATATGAAAATTGGCAAAATTAATTATTCAATAATTTTCTATTCATCACAAATTAAAATTAAAAAATAAGAGAGATAGATAAGAAATTCATTATCCTCTCTTTTATTTATATATTTGGAGGATCTCTAACTCATCTACTTTAAAAAAAAGTTATCCAAAAAAGAATATTCAATTTAAAATATCTTAATTTTTCTAAAAATTAAAACTAAGGAATGAGAAATATGTAAAATTTGAAAAAAATTATTATAAAGAGTTTAGGATCGAGTTTGAAAGAAAAAACTTTTGGGTTCGAGTAGACTTGCTTATTAATTGGAGAGAATTTTAGAAATATTTGATAGGTTTACCCTAATAGACTGAAAGAATAATTATTAAATATCATATAAAAGAAGAAATACTTATAATTATCCTTTTTTAATACACAATCATATATAAGAAAATATATTTGTAAATATATTTATTTAAAACAATTTAACTGATTAAAAATTGACAAAATTTTTGATATTTATTTATGATTTAAATTTATTTATTGCTTTTTATCTTCCAGTTTGAGCCAACAACATAATATTACATCATTTCGATGAATGCTGACTATCAACTGTATACTAAAGTATTATAGATTAATTAAAATGATTATACTACTGCATCCTACTTTTCATATGGTATTTGGAGCAGATACACTCCATTAGGTCAAAACAATCAAGTTGGAGCAATAGGAATATTTGATAGTTCATGTTTTCATATTCACAATGTAATTGGACAATCATCAAGATTATTAAATTTTTTATTTTTTGATTGTCTTGAATATCCAAAGAAAAAAATAAAAAGAAAAATATTTTTTAAAGCCTCAAATGACAAGTGGAAGAATTTTTAAGCAAATATAGACAATTTCTCATATGAATTTGTTTGGCATTATTTTGAAATAACGTCATGGCCTTATGAGTAGAAACTTTAATTTATTTTAACTTAAGGGAGAAAAACAATATTAAATGAATTAATAGATGAGAGTATTCCATACAGTGATTTAGATTTATTATTTACAGTTGGGGGTGGTCTTTACATAGATGAATATTAAAATATCCCTGAAATTAAAGAGGGATCAAAATTTTCTTTTTTCCCCGGAAAGATATATATATATCCTTTTTCATAAGGAAGAAACAAAGGAATGAATGAATATTTAAAAATACTTGATTATATTAACAGTTTTAAATGCATATGTACTTATAATATGATAAATCGTTTACCTGATTAGGATTTAGAATTTTTATAATCATAAATTTTTACATCTTAATATCCAAATTGTAATAATTTTGCTTTAAATGCATGGATTAAGATAACAAACATTAAAGCTGATTCTCAAGAATTTACATATTAATTAATTAAACTATCGCCTGTCTTTAGTACCTCAAAATTGATAAATTAAAATTTAGTAGCATTTTAATTATTTTATGTATTATCGCCAAAAGGAAATAAAATTTGCATAACAACATACAGTTTTACATTCCCCTTGGTAAATATTGATTTTTCTGATAATCCATTTCTCATTCAAAAAGAAATAGATATTTCCAATGATATTAAATTATGGCATTATATTTCGGTGGGTGTAATTGATGATGAATTTTAATTTTATATAACATTTTTTGAAGATTTTAAGGAATATAATAATCACTTTTCCCAGTTTGTGAATCATTTTCATATGGTAAGATACTAATTAGAATATGGAAATGTTGAGAAATAATTTACAAATTATCTTAATATTTAGTTTAGTAGGATGAATTTTTATAATTGTCCTAAAGATGTAAATCCTTTTGGATTTTGTCACTTTAGTTGTAAAAAATGTGATGGTCCTACTAGTTCAAATTGTTTGTCTTGTTCCAAATATTCAAATAGAATTTATTTACCAGATCAGAAATCTTGTGTGTGTCCATATGATACTATTGATAATTACTATTGTGAAGGTCACAAAGACCTTGACTTATTTCTTAATAATGATGATGAACCATTAAATAAATGTTAATTTGGTTACTTTGAGTTAGAAAATGAATGTATGTTATGGTAATAATAATTTAAATTTTAGTCCTTCAATAATTTAGGAAAATTTTATTACCTGCCTAGATTGCTTATAAAATCCAGGAACATGGTAGAGTAAACTTTTTTGTGAAATTAATTTATCTTCATATGGGAGGGAAACATCAAAATAAATATAGGAAGATACTTAATACTTTATTTCAGATGGTAATGATCTTAATTTTTGTAAAAGGTGTAATACTTAAGAGAGTTCATTATATGAAGATTATCAAGATTATATCCAAGAATTTTAATCATTATGTCTAACCACAAACACTGATTAAAATTATTTGCCAATTAAATTAAATGAGCTATGCTATATATGTGATTTAAAGCTTTGTTTAGTCTGTAAAATGTCTGTTTTGGGTTTTGAATGTGTTCGTTGTAGGTAAATATCTACCCCAATTATAAAAATAAATGGTAGATGTGAATTCAAAAATAAAAATTTAAAACTTGAATATTGTTCTCAACCTTATTACATGGATTCACTACGAAATTGTAAATTATGTGATATTGAATATTGTAAATATTGTTTTGAATATTCAAGCAATGATTTAAGTAAAAGTACACTTTATTACAATTTTAATTAATTTGATAAGGATGAATTTCATAAAATAGGTTGTGCTTAATGTGAAAATGGATTTAGTTTCGATTTTAATAAAGGCAAATGCTTATACAATTAACCATCTATTTAGAATTGTATTAGATCTTATATTAGCTAAAAGAATATTGAAGTTTGTACATTGTCCTAAATGGAAGACTTTACAATATCTCCTGAAATTAGTAATTGTAAAAAGTTTATCTAAAATTGCAAACAATGTATTTAAAATCCATAGAAAGAAATTAAATGTGTTTTATGTGAAGATGGTTATACTGCTTCAATATAAACAGGATAATGTTATGAATGCTCAATTGAAAATGCAAAAAATTGTATAGAAGGATAATCAAATTTGTTTGATGGTTGGATGCAATTAGTTTAAAGTTTTATAATGCAATTCCTAAATAATTATTTTTATCCTCCTACATAATAAATAAATAAAATATTTGAGCTTCCTAATGAATGTCAAACCGGATTTCAAGTATTTTCAGGATATGCATGTCAATAATATTGTGATTAAAACTGTATATCCTGCATAGAATAAGACGAATAGTTTCATTGCAATAAATGTCAATTGAACTATTTTGGGTTGAATATTAAGTCTTCTGAAAATGGAAAATGTCTCTAATGTCCTTAATTATGTTTGGTGTGTCAATCAAGAACAATTGAAGAGATTAAAGTAATATTTTTTATTTAGATTAGGAAATTAATCCTTATTTTGAAATTACAGATTCAAATAAGTTTTACACATATAAATGCTTCTAAACAATAAATGATAAGAATATAATTTTAGATCCTTACACAAATATTGCCAAATATTGCTATAGTGATTAATGCACTGATAATTTAGTATATAAAGTATTTAAAATTAAAATTTTATTAGTTTGAAGTGGATTGTTTAAATATTTAAGCAAAATTTTCACCAACATTTTATGAGTATTACGAAAATAATATTGATTTTAACTATTGTAATTAACTTGGACTCAAGAAGATTGTAATTAAAATAAATTAGGTGAATTCTTTTTTTGGATGTCCTGGTGTTGGTAAATTATTCATAGACAACTAATTAAAAAATAAAATATTTTCCCTTTAACAAACGCATTTATAAATTAAAGGAGGAGAGGAATTTATCGTACGAGAATTAGAATTAAATAATTTTGATTCAGTAAAAATAAATAACATGATAATTTTCATTTACTCGCCTACTTATTGGTATATAAGTAATGGTGAAAAATCCGTTGACTTAGTGATCATGCATACTCTATTTTAATCTTTTGATTATAAAGCAGAATCATATTCGATGAATTTAAACAAATATAACAAACTCATTTTGAAAAATGTAACATTTTAAAGAATATATTTATACAATTAATCTCTTTTAGATTGTTCCTAGTTTGACTCTAAGAGTGAAATATTAATTGAAAAATTGAAAATAAATCATTCTTCATTTGAATCATCTAATTTAATAAATGTTGTTAATTTTCATAATAAAATTACAATCGAGTATTTAGAATTGATCAACTGTTTTATCATAAATAGTGAAATATTTAAATTCAATAGCAATTTCAATGTTTAAGTTGATATCATTAGAATGAATATTCAGAATAATTAAATTTTTAACACAACCTTCATAAAGGGTATAGGTAGTTTATAGATCAACTTTATAAAAACAGAATTTTCAGAGAATGAAGTTATAAATTCAATTATTTTTTATGTAAATTTGAGATCTTAATTCTCTCAAATTCAGATAAATAAAAATGACTTTTTGAATTCCAAAATAATTCTTATTGATGAAATATAGGAAGAAAAATCTGTTATGAAAATAGAGGATTTTAAAGTAAAATTTAATTAATTTTATTAATCAATAGTATTTGAATTAGATGTTAGGTAAAACGAAGCAGAAATATATTTTTACAATTTAGATTTAGTAGAAAATAAAAAAACAGATTAAGAAATTTTTAAATATAGATTATTTTATCTCAACTCTAAAAGATTTTATCTACAAAATTGTAAGATAAAAGATTAATTTTTTTTCAGTCATTTCTCACTATTTTAAGTCAGTGATATAACAATTGAAAATGTAACCTATTTTAACAAAAAGCAAAAAAATATAATGGGTTTGAAATTCGATTGCACTACATTTTTTGGAAATAACCAATTATTTTTTATATAAGGATTTCAAAACCTTGAAATGAAATTTATCAGAATAGAGAATATTTCTAGCTTTGATAACTCCTTTATCTAAATTTTAAGCGATATCTTATTCTTTCAAAATATTAATTCAACTATATATATTCAGGATATCATATTTTAAGGAAATTTAATTTAAAAAATTACTTAAGGGGAAAGAATGTCATTATTACTGATCTATTCTCAAAATAATTAAGGAATAACTTGTAAAAACTTATATTTTAAAGAAAACTTTTTTAATTAGGTTTCTGATGATTATAATTCAAACTCTGCTGGTCTTATTTACATAAATTCTTAATAAAGCACTATTAATTTACAAAATATTTCTTGTTATTAAAATGGTTTAACAAATTCAACAAACCCTTTTATTTTTATAAATACTGAAAAACTTAATATTTTTGATGTTGTTATTAAAAATCATAATATTTTATCAAATGATATTTGGAAACAATATTATAAAATTGATTTTAAAAATCAATTAAATGAGAATGAAGTTATTATAATTTTAAAATAAATATTTGGAATGAATAATAGGGGAGGAGGTTTTTAAATTATTACAACAAATTTACATATAACCTAAGGATACTTTGAGAACATACTCTCAGAAAGTAGCTAAGTTTTTGATATTATAACTTAAGGAGATGGTATTATTAAACTTGAATCATTAAATATCTAGTCTATTTAAAGTACATTAAATTCAGAGAGCCAAGGATGTATTAATATTTACTCAAAGAACAGTTAACTGAATTTTTATCTTACTAATACAACTTTTTAAAGAGTAAATAATAAATTAGACTCTGCTATTTTGACAATTACTCCATCTTTGGTTTCAAATTTAATTAAGATATAAAATGTTTAATTAGAAGATTGTATTTCACTAATAAATCAATTCATTTATATTGATTTTTCATTGAGAAAATCAAATTTAAATAAAATTATAATATAAAATTTAAAAATAACTCAAAATGATCAAGCTTGGATTAAATATTTTGAAATGATCCAATAAATTGGTTAAATTGAGATTGATAAGATTATTTCTGATAATGCAGTTATTAATTTATAAGGATGCGATCTTAATATTGATGGATTGATTATAGAAGGAACATATATTTCACCAATCATTAAAATATCAGATTCTCCAAAGATTATCATTTCAAATAGTAATTTTTACTCAATCAAAACTTTTTATCCAATAAATATTTTACACTTTCAACAGTAGACAGAATCAAAATAATAAATTAGCTTGAAGAATATGTATTTTAATAAATACTCTATATTTTCAAAATGGAAATATGATGATTTTATAATTAAGACTTTTAGTTTTTCTAATAATTAATGTAGTTTTGATACCCTCTTCGAATCTACATAAATAAATCAATAAATATTTAATATTCAAACTCAATTAGATATTTTAAATTAGAACATAAAATCATCTGGTTGTTTAATTTATTTTGAAAGTATTTCAATGAATAATATAATCTAATTAAATTCTATTTCAGTTAGTGAAAGCAATTGTAGAGAATGTTAGTTGGGTTTACTTTATTTTTTTGTTGCATAATTTAAAAAATTAAAGCTAATAGATTTGATTTTCACAAAAAATTATATAAGTTAATATGGATGTCTTCATTTCAACACACTTTAATAAATAAATTAAAAGGCCCAATTACATGATTCTCTCTTTATACTTAATTATGGAAACTTAGGAGCAGCTATTTATTCAAAATAATTAAGTATTGATATTGTTAATTGTTATTTTTCTTAAAATACAGCTATGACTTTTGGAGGAGCTATTTACATGTAAAATTGTAAAAATGATTTTAAAATCCTAAAATCATTACTAATTGAAAATGTTGCTTCACAAGGAGGTGGAATATTTTTTAATGGAAGCAATCAATTAACTAAAGAAAATTTTGAAAAATCTCTTATTTAATTAAATACGGCATTATTATATACTAATAATGTAATAGAGATTCCTCATCATTTATCTTTATCAATAAATAATTAAGAAATGATTTCAGAACAAATTAAATTTGAGAATCTTACTTCAAATGTTTTGAAATTAAAAAAATACAAAATTATCGAATAAGGTAAAATTAAATTTATGAATACATTTATGATTCCTAGTAATTAAATAATTTAAAATTATAAATTATTTAATCCTTAAAATTATACTTATTTAAATTTTATAAGTGAATTGTCAATCAACTAAAAAAACAGTTTAAATGAAAAGTTATTTAGTTTTTCAAATTCTTCCTGTGATATTAGTTTATTTACTTAATTATCAAATAATGAAACCCTAATCGAATAAAATTCTAACCAAACTATTTTCTATAATTAATTAAAAAATGGTTTTGATTTAGGATAGATTTCAATTATTTTTAATCCATATTAAGAAGAAAATATTTTCTATTAATTGTAAATTAACTGTGCTGTTAACCTTTAATAAAATATTTTGCAATACATAGTAAAAGGAAAAACCTTGAAATGTTAATTAGGGGAATTTTTTTATAATGAGGGTTGTTAAAAATGCGAAAATGAAAAAGGGTTTTATTCTGTTTCTTATAATAATTCTAAGTGTTCTATTTTTGACAAAACTAAATTTAAAAATATAACATCAAATTAGATAGAATTACTTGAAGGTTTTTGGAGGCCCAATCATTTTTCAGATTTAACAGAAGAATGTTTCAAAAATCAATAATTCTGTAAAGGAGGTTGGTCTGTGGGAAATGATTTATGTTAGCTTGGCCATACTGGAGCATTGTGTGAAGAATGTGATATAAATAATATTAGAGGAGAGGGAAACTATTTTAAAATGACTTCAGATTCAACATGCGCAGTTTGCAATGACAACAAACTTAGTATTATATTAACTGTAATCTTTGCTTTACTATGGTATGGATATTTTAATAAGGAATAGGTCAATTTTGTAAATTATTTTAACATTGAGAAGTATTAATGAATCAAATAAATTATTTTAATCTTTAAAATTGAGATAAAGATTTAGTAAAATTCTTTTTAAATTAAATTAGGGTATTAGAATTTTTTAATATTTTAGATTATAAGGGTATTTTGATAAAGATGTTAATCAATTATTTATGGATTTTAACTCTTATCTTTACATTTAATATTTAGTTTCCTTTGTTTTTTGCATTTGTGGATAGAACCAGCAATCCATCAATTTTTGTGGTAACTAGTTTAGAATGTTATACAGCTGATATGTTTAATATCGAATTAATTTATCTAAGAATTATTATGCTCTTTATAGTACAACTGAGCTTATTCCTTGCAATATCTGGTGGATATATGATTAGCTCTTTAATGAAGAATGAAAAATTTAACAATAGTATTTTATCTAATACAGCAATCTACCTATATATTGCAAATTATGCTGAATTTGCCAAATAGTATATATAAATTGTATTTAATAGATTTGCATCCTTATTATCCATTAGAAAAATTTCAAATATTGAATTTATATAAGGAAATGTATCGTTAGAATATAATACTAATACTCATTAAATATGGATTATGTCATTTGTTATTCCAGGATATATTATAACTTGTTTTATTATGCCTTTTCTATTTTTCATATTGTTATTTATTCTGAGAAATAAATTAGATTAAATTAAATTAAGGAAACACATTTGCTATGTTTTTAATGAATACAAAGAAAACAATTATTATTGGGAATTTATCAAAATTTGGTAAAAAACCATAATGATATTTATTATCCTATACTTTGAAACAAATGTCTATTTAAAAGGATCTTTATTAGGTTTAAGTCTTTTAGTCTATCAAGCATTTGCCATGAAATTGAAACCATATTTAATACCAAAGTTCAATAATCTTGATATATTAACTTCATAGATTTGTTCAATAGTTATATTTGTAGCAATAGCAAAATATGCAAGTGAATAACTTAATAATCAAAATTGGTCAGTAATACTATAATTTTTAATTATGATTTTAATGATAAAGTTGTGCATTCCTTTTGTTGAAAATATCTTACAAGCTTATAATAAAAATTATAAAATTCATATTTTAACTAGAATTCATAGAATACTCAAATTTTGTTTACCATCCTACTTTTTGACTAAAAAAATTTAAGGAAAACTATTTACTTATTAAATACAATAATAATAAATTCACTAAAATTTCTTAAAATTGAAATAATACCTATTTTCACGCAAGTAAAATTAGAGAAAGAAACCTCTTAGTGTACTTTTTTAGAAAAGGGAATCCTAAAGTTTTATAGACTGAAAGTGAGATATATACATATTGAATATTTTAAAAATAATTATGATAAGTTAATTTGTATTTAACATAAATGTTATTATTTCTAGAATGATCTTTATTTATCAACAGGTCTTGTATTTTTATTAAATTAAATTGTTTTTTTTTTGTATTTTATTGATATGAGAATTAGCAATTGGTTTGATCTTTACAGATTTGATTACTCACTTAAGGAGAAATATGGTCGGTCTTTACAGATAGGTTTGGTCTTTACTACTATATGTACTATTTGGCAAGTACAATTGTACGTAGTACTATTGAAGGGTTGATACATAATAATGAGAAAAAAGAATATTTGTATTGGTTTGCCCACTAGTAGGTTTAATTCAGCAGTCACATAATGTTGAATTCTCTACACAGGGTTTGGGTTTGGGGTTGGGG